TTTATCCATTCCGTTGTTGAAGCGTTAATATAAATCGAAGTATATTGCATCAAATATAAAATTGTCATCAAAGTTTTATCGAACATTTTCAATTTTTTTTTCTCTCGTAACGTCAACAACGGGAGGAACACCTTGTGCACTTTGAATAACTTATCTGGCGGTTTAGACACTTCTCGCGGTGAACTGAGGGAAAAGTAATACAAAAAAAAAAAAGCCGCCAGGCATTCACGACTTTGGAGAAACCTGCGATATATTGGCAACGAACATCGAAAAGTCTGGACACACTGAAGAGAACGATCGTATTCCGCGCGAGTATTACTTGATATGCCCAATTTTTTTGGAAAGCTATGCCTCGTAGAAGGCTCGTAAACTCTACTTACAATCTATTCCCTTAATCTCAACTCGTAACGCGAACTTCGAAAAGAACGACACTAAACGGTTGTAACTGGAAAATTAAAAATTCTCACCATCTACCGAACATGGAACATTACGAGCTATTAAACAATGTCGTTTAGCCCTATACAGCGGTACAGTATAATACTCTCCATTAATCATAATTATAATAATAATACCGTAATTACAGTTATCTCTGTAATATCTCAACATACGATCTATTCATTTAATTCTGGCGTTACGGTGCATAAAATTATTAGCACGTGTGTGTATGTATATAGATCTGTACAGTTTACATTACAAATAATACCACTCGTTAGCCTTGCTCGCGAGTATTCTCATTTTCCCTGTACCATCTGACGAAAATGTTAACGTACACGACGATTCTCTTTCCTTCTCAGCAGGACCGACTAAACGTAATCTGTTGTCCAGTATGAACGATCTAAACCCACGGACTACGGTGTTCCTGTCGAGAGTGAACAATTAAATCGTTCGATCTCGCGAGAGCGACGCGCCTTCGCTAGAGAGCCATTGATAATCTCGTACGTCTCGGATAATTAATTTCTCGTTGTTTTATCTCGAGGAATTACACTTACTGGAGGAGACAGAGCGAAGATGTACGTACGTTTTCAACCGTTGAAACACTTTTTTTTTTTAACAACTTGAGACAATATTCCGCACAAAAAATTGAGACGTGAATATTCGCGAGATCACTCGAACCATGTACAGACTCCTCTCGATTATCGTCCTGAACTCGAGTCCGCGCCGGGACAATAATCTTATAGGGAGAAATGTTTCAGACCCTTGTAAATTCGTTTTTTGACCGAAGCCTCGGCAAGAAAATTGGAGTGGCAACAAAGTATGCGCTTGACAGGTTCCACGACCTTCCCTCCACCATCCCCAGTGGTGGGGATAACGCCTGGACAATAATCGTGTAGAATAAGCTAGACAATAATCGAGAGCAGTCTGTAGTAGGAATCGTCCCGACTCTAACTGCGTTTTCATTAGTTCCACCTGTAAAAATCGGTGTCCCTAAATTAGGTCTTCGCTGTATCACTTTTGACGCGTACGATCCGAAAGTTATAAACATTATACATTAAGAGTAAGTAAATATGTCGAAAATCGAACGACGCGAGTATCGTTTAGGCCCTTGAAACATCGAAACGTGGAATCGGGGGGTGGTTACACGGTTCGTTTTCGAAACGCACGAGTGTCCTCGAAGGAACAAAAACGTTATTTCGTATTCCTTTCTTTCGTTCTTTTATTTCTTTCTCTCCCTCTATATCTCTCGAACGATCGATAGAGAAAGTATACGAAGGTGCGCAATGACACGGGAAATGCAAGTGTCCATCGTCGTCGATGCTCTTCTAAAGCGATTATCTACCCAGGGAGACCTTCGACGGTTTGCTGTAACGAAAAATAATATTTTCTTTTTGTAATTGCACTTCGATCATCGTCCTCGACCTTCCGCGCGTCACTGCGCAGAGTCGTCGGAAGAGTGAAGCCTCGCTTCCACTCGCGTAGTATCGCCACCACCGACGTTTCTTTTTTTAATCGCGCGATCCCCCCCTTGTGCTTCACCCCCGATTTGCCCGTTATCACGCCGTGAAACCGTACAGTCGGACGAGAGTGTTGCGAATAGATGTGCGTGGAAAAACCGTTAGAAAATTCCGAACGTGGACGAATTATTTCTTCGTGCTATTGGCATCCGAATTATCTAATACGGATACATAAATTTAATCCAATTTCAAATCGTTCGAATTTTCCTTATGGGTAGATTTTAGATATTTATGAAAATTCAGATTTTTATACTTTAATTTAAACGAATGTATTTATCTTTTGTAGTCTTCGTACGGACACTTCGCTATTTTTATAACTGAATTTGCTGACGCATACGTATATGTTTTGCAGCTTTCGTAACAACACTCGCGGAAGTCAGATAAATCCGAAGTGCTTGACGGTTTTCTTTAAAGAAATCTTGTATATTCTTGGCTTTCAATGAACAGTCTTAATCGATCCGTAGTAAGTAATACTACGAGATTCTTTATGGCACGAGACTGAATGTTTTTTTTAATTGTTTTTTACTGAAAAAAAATTCATATCGGTTGATGCGAATTTAAATTCGATTTTTATTTGAATATTATCATCTGAGATATTTAATTGACTATCGAATTCTGTTTTCTTCTGTACAATAATAAATAAGTCTTATATTCGAATACTGATAATTTACAGTTTTAAGTAAAAATAACTCGTACAGAACAAATACTTCTTGATATTTAAACAAATTCGTTACGACCTAAACCAATCAGTCGATTAATATTTTTCCATAAATATAACGAATTCCTACCAAATCTAAAATGAAAAACTTTTAAAAATTCTTTGCATAAAAGTGAGTCGACAAAAATTTTACCCACTAAATTTCCATTCTCCTATACTCGCGTAATTGTAACAATAAAAAAAAAATAATACTGTTCAGTATCGTAATACAAACTAAATTCCCCTGACCACACATAAACATTAGATACTCCGTCCCCTCCAAGTTTCCTCGTCAACAGTCACATGAAAAATTATATCCGCACATTTTTTTTATAGATATTCTGTGCTCAGTTACACCGATATACGTACTACAGATCGTATCGCTCGGTTGAAGTGGGCGTACTACGCGAAATCGGAAGGACGTCGCTCCGCGAGACGTGGCGAAACGCGTCTAATTACACAAGATCGTGATACGATATTTTCTTATATACACATACAAGCAACCTAAACCGGCAAAGCACGGTCGTAGAGCCCCTAGAAAAACAACAATAATCCCAAACGGCATTACAATAAAGTGCCTCCCGAACGGCCCACCGTGCGATGTACAGACACATTACACACTGTTTCAACGATACACGATCTCTAATTAGAATTACGTACTTCGAACCATTGTCGGCATGTCAGTTTCTCTGTTCTTTTTATTTTCTTTTCTTTTCTTTTCTTCTTTCATTCCATTTAGACCTATATTCAGAAAGAGAGAGCGGGTTTCGCGACTCGGGATTTTCATGCAAAATCCTCGAAGCATTTCTACGCTATTATATCACATCCTATGTCTGAGCACGTGTTTCTTAGTTTTCTTGTTGTTGTCGTCGTTTAGTATTCCATTTAAGGATCGGCTAGTTATGTATCTATATATATATATGTATACGGTGTCTCGTATAATATATTAACAGCTAAGTCGGAACTAAAACACGGTGAACATCTTAAGAGGTAGAGAAACAGTGACTCGATTACTCGCGGATTACTTAAAAATTAGCCGACTGCGTCGACGCACGCACGTTCCCGCCGATTGTGATGATCGATCGATGAAACGGAGCATTTTCCATCGATCATCGGCTTTCTAACCAACAGCATGACATTTTTCTTGTTCCTATTTTGCATACCTTCGCCGTTTCGAAAATTTCCCTCGAAACGGAGATTCTCGCGTGATCGATATGGATTTTTCACCCGCGGACACATTTTTATCGGTAATCATACACGGACCCATCCGTCTTAATCGAAACTTACTACCTTTGATCACATTATAGGGTTCTGGTAGACTTTCCAGGATACGTTCGCTGGATTATATCTGATCTAGGGGGCAGGGGATTAATTACTTCTTTCTTCGAAGAACTATCGACAAGAAAATGACGTGACGCGCGGTATTCGAGCGTAACAATGACGGAAAACGGTCTAATTATGCTATTTTTTTTTTTTCTTACGTCAGACCTCCGGGTAATTAATCCTGTGCTTTTTGGCTACTATCGAACAATTATACGATACCGTACACGCTATATGGCTCGTAGAAGCATATATATATATATATATTTTATTTTCTCGTAAACACGCTGCGTTAAGAGTAACAATATACACGGAACGTCGCGCGAAGCCAGGTTACGCGGTCTTAAAAATATACAGAGTTACTCCCTTAATCGTAATTCCCTACGTAGCGTTATGCGACAAGCATACACATACAAACACGCGGTATCCGTATGTTCCATTGTTTCTGTATTTATGTGCAGGTGCATTCAATAACGATACATGTATATGTAATATATAATCTTCGAAGGCATCATCGCTGTTAATTCAATTTTCTCGGAGCATGCAAGAGGAAGGGAGGAAGAAAGAAAGAAACAGTGAGGAAAACAGAGAAAGAGAGATATGGATATATATAGAGAGAAAGAGATAGAACAGGAGATTGAAAAAGAGATAAGATAGAAAATGAGATTCAAAAAGAGATAAGATAGAAAATGAGATTCAAACAGAGATAAGATAGAAAAGGAGATTGAAAGAAAAATAAGAGAGGAAAGGAGATAGAGAGATAGTGTATTAGAGCAAAGAACGAAAGATAGCGACCACGCGGATCAATTTGTTATTCCAAACATTCTATTGCCGTGGGGCGAAAATAGTAAAGACATCGAATTAGTGTTCATTCTCAACCCTGAACAGTCTACCAATATCTACTTGCTCAACTGAAACAATAGTTGCCCATTTAAATCGTAAAACATAGTTAAAAAATGGAACGAGGGGTTTAGGGAGATCAAGATCACACGCCGATTACAGATAAGTATGGACAGCTGTGGTCTATTTACTTGATCTTGAATGCGTCCATCAGCTCGTTCACAGCGGCCTGCGTCGCAGCCTGCGTCGCAGCTTGCGTAATCCTCTGCTGTAGACCACCCCCACGACTAAACATACACCACGGATACGCTGATTTTACCACAAGACTTTCGGCTATGCCTTATAATAGTGTACTACGATTTCTCGTTTAGCAAACTCTAGAGTACGATTCCTTTCGTACGAGATCTGATACTATATACCGAAGTGGACAGTATATACGGTTTCAAGTCGTATCGAGGTTGAACATTCCGTTTCTAAAGACGATTAGTGCTTGCAGAGATTCATTGGTTTTCTTTTTTCGTGAACGTTTGAAAATAGTATCGAACGCATTTCAAATTAGAGATTTTTAAAACAATAATGTTTCTTTTTAATGAACGTCTTCAAGGGTCGGTATAATATAATTTAGTTTTGGATAAATTTAGTCATGATTTTTTAATGTCGATTGAAAACTTTACGATTTTTGGCGGATTTATCGTTCTTTTTTTATCTTTACAATAGAGAAATGAAAAATTTATTTTAAGTTTCTTTCGCTTTACAAGATCGCGATAAGTTTCACAATATGAATTTTTCTATAAGATCGAAATGATCCAGTTACGTTGGTAGTAAGAACTAAAATATTTACACTTAATATAGTATTTATTTCCGAATAAAAAAAGGAAAGGATTAATAAAAAAAAATTCAGTCGAAAAAAATCGAATCCTAAATTAGAAGTAGCTGACATTAAAATCTCTGCAAGTAATAATTTCACAATAAATTTAAATCTAATAACTCCCACTTCAAAGCAACTATCATTATTCTATCTACGAACGTTTCATAAATAGGGCTATATTCTTAAACCGAACATACTATACATGAAAATGGATTGAAAGTAGAATGAACGCGTACTACGCAAGAATCGTCAACTTACAATCGAGTATTGTAAAATTCTCATTTAAAAAAAAAACAAAAACAAAATGTGAACAATTCAATGCAGGCACCGACACATTAGTCCGTAATTAATAACTGACAAGATTAAAATTGACCTTGGTAAAGTTTATGGAACAAAGAAGAACAGAAAAGCAACGGTATGTATTAGGTTGAAAAGCTTTCGGATGTAAAGACATGTTGCTGGACCATCGTGTATCGTATAATTAAATTCTCACACAATATTTCAAAACGATTGTTCGACAAACACTCGGAAAACGCATCTCACAAGCGACTGTTTCGTAACATTTTTTTTTTTTTTTGCGTAATTAAAATGTCATGCTGTTAGTTAAGCGAATGAATACTTATCCACCTGTGACAAGAACCCAGGACCATTTATTTTACAACGTTTTTAGTTGTATATACAGGCATCATGTACAATTCCATCGAACTAATTTACAATGAAAGAAATATATTCATTCTACCTATTATATATTCATTTTTTCTTTTTCGTTACGAATGAGCGTGATTCATATGTATCTAATTCACTCCTCACGATTACCGATCAATCATAGACAATTAGGACGCGTAATTAGGGGTATGCAAGTGTTCTCGTAAGATCTCGTACGGTCTGAATACCGGCTACGAAACTGAGCATAACTTATCGCGGTTCGGAATACATACACTCGAAAGGACACGAACGAATGGAAATCACGAGAAAAATGATGATCTTGGTCATTCTTATAAAATAATTGGACCACTTGGAAAAGAAACGTGGGACGTGATAAATCGTTGGCCAATAGTCATGGAAGCTCTGTCGCCGACCGTTAATTAATTACGAATAACCACGGGCTTACACACCCCTAATTAACACCGATCACGTAATCCGTTAATATATGCAGACAGAACATGTAACATTAGGAAATTGTATTTCGTGTAAAATGTACACTGACTAGATGTAATCGATATTATTATATATGTATATTGATTAGTAGGGAATAGGCGAGTTAGTGCGAAGACTTATTGTCGGCGCCTGCAATAGAAAGTGAAGTTAGCACCAAAGCCCCGATCACACAAAGCTATAGAGACAAGCGACTGCAATTTTCCATATTTGATACGTGTATTTATCTTATTCGTTTTCTTAGTGAAGATTAAAAAAGAAATCAAAAAAGACCTTCACCCCGTTGCAGAAAGACACAGAGGACTGTCATGGACACAATCTGACAGAACATTGTGCAGAACTTCGTAAACGTGAGACTTGACAATTCAAAGGTACTCGATAGTACAGAGAGTGCCTCGAAATTATGCATGTTCTTAATGTTTTTGGTACTATAGCTCGACGAGTTTAAAAAAAGACCTTAGACCATACAATGTATAATAGACAACAATAGTAAACTACAGACTGTCCCAAATATAAGTTAAAATAGTTTAAGGTTTAAGATAATACAAGGTCTATTGTACACATACTTAGTTTCCCAAGTTTTATAACAATATTAAGGCATTTTTATCTTATACTTTATCTTCGGTAATTCTAGACATTACACTTTGCTTAACATAAATAAAACTGAGAATCATATTTAAACTACTAATACAAATTTACAAATATCGACAAAATTTTCCGAAGGGACATATTTAAAGTTAAAAATACAATTTCCTTTTCCAACATTCAAAAGTGACAAGTCGAACACAAGCTGTGCAATGACACTGCACGCAAAACACTGATCGCTGAACAAGGAAAATGGAACACTAACAAATTATACGAAACTTTGATCGAAATCTGTTAATCAATATTATTAACCGACTATTTTTTCAGATTCTTGTTAACTCGTCGAGCTATACAAACTTTAAAAGGTATATTGTTGAAAAAAAAAATGTGTGGAATTAGTTTCTGTACTTACGATGGTATTAGTGGAGGCGGTAGGCCAGGTGTACCACGGGCCGGTGGTGGTCCACCGGGTCCAGGTCGGTTAGGGATAGCCGGTGCTGGCCGACCACCTGTTGGAACCGGCGGTGGTGCTCGAGAACTAGAAAGAGGTGGTGGCTGTGTCACTCCACGTCTTGGTCCACCAGGAGATGGTGGTGATAACCTATAACAATTAAAGGATAAAATAATTCATGGATACTGCGGTTGCATAACAAAATAGGACATAACACTTGAAACTTTCAATCATGAGTACTAAAATAATTACAAGATAGTTATATCTAGACTGTGGATCCTTATGCAAATATCAATCTTTAAAGATTTATTTACAGAAATTAAAAACACACAGAAATTTCTTGGGTGCAACGAAGATTTTATCTAGGTCCCACACAAGTTGAAGACCATACTAAAATTTATTGACCTACTTTATATGCTGAATTTCAGACAATCGGGTCCGATATAAATGCATAAAATCTATGGTCCAGTTATATTGTTGTAGATCTGAAATAGTGTATAGTAGAACACGTAAGAGAATTTGAGAATGTAGTTCTGTGCTCGTACTTCACGTGGACTAACATGAGGACCAACGGTACCTCAAAATTAAGGCATGCAGAGTATGTGAATTTCGTAAAAAGTTTTACTGTATAAGTTAGTCAATGTATTTCTCCACATTATCTATTTGCACAAAAGAGTATTATTTTTAATGAATGGCAAAAAATAAGACCCCCTTAACCTTTTAGTGTTTGATATAAAGTAGCTGAATCGCAAAATTCTCACTTTCAGAGGCTCGTGTAAATGTAAATTTCAAGAGAAAACTGAAAGATACTTGCAGCGTATAGAAGGTTAAATAATATATTAATAAATAAATAAGCACGAAAATGAAGAGAAACACTCAACTACATCTGCTAACTGAAATTTAAAAGAGCTGTGTTTGAAAACGAGAAACAAAGCATCCGAATCGTGGACTTCCTTGTTACCCCTTAAAATAAAAAATAAAGAAAAGGAGTAGAATATAGTTAGTAGAAAGATAGTAGCTCTTACCCAAGACTGTTTCAACGGTGTTCAAGTATATGTGGCAAAAGCAGGCAGTGCAAGATTGAAAGATACGAAATTAGTTAAAGGCATAAGCGACAATGAAAATAATAACATAATTGTTACCTTGGATTTTCGCCGGACACCAACCAGTCGTTTTTCACCGGAGGTGGTACTGGCGTGGAAACTGTTGCCATGGAAACATCCCCAATTATGCGAAGTGCCTCTTTGCATGCGTGGTACATACGCAACATTTCTTCCCGCTTTTGTGCTTCTTCTGGAGACTCTTCCATCATCGAAGCCTGTAATCGTATAATGAGTTATTTAGTACTAATTCAAGTAACGACTAGATTATAAAATAGAGGAAAACGTATATACACAGAAATGAGGACGATAGAAGTTTAAAATGAAACTAAATTTAATCAACCGAAAAGAACGCTATGGAACAATTGCAATATTTAAAATTGGTGTAAATTGTTACCTGATCACCGCTTGCATACAGGTGTGCCAACAACTCTCCGTTAATGAAATCCTTTGCATTGTTGATGATCAAATGCATAATTGACTTCGGAACCAGATCGCGGGTAGTTTTTGTAACAATCTTCATGTATGAGTCCACTAAATTCCTAATGGTCTCGACTTGACGCTCCAATTGAGGATCCATGGATGATTGAGCTTCTTGTCCAGCCTATAAACATGTGAATAATATATTTTATGCACACGAAATCACAGTGATAAAAATTAAATTGTATATGTGAGATACAGGTGATATAGAATTAGATTAAATAAAACCTATGAAGAAAGATAACTGCAGTAGTAGAAGTGTTACTGATTTTATATTTAAATGCAAATAGTGCTGGTAGACAGAATAAAAACATTTTCACAGAAACGTATGCATATTTTACAAGCGTAATTAAGCGTTCAAACATATTTTAAAAGTGTTTGTTGTATTCGTAATTGAGAAAGCAGAGCTTGGTGGAGGTGTACTACACTTGTGTAAGTGTGGTGTATCTAGAATGTCTACAACATTCTATAATCGTACCAACCTCGTATCCTTCCTTTAGTTGATTAGAGGCAAAAAACATTTAATAATTGTAAATGCAAGAAAAGAATACAATTTATTCTTGAGGAAAGTAACAAATACTACTCATGTTTGTATTAAAAGAGAATATTAAAATAATTGAAATGTTATTCTTTAAAGATATAATCGTTTTATACGACTATATGTACAATTAATAATTACACAACAAAAAGCTCAAGTTCCTTTTGCATTATAAAACTAAATCAAATTAGTTTTCATTTTACTCTAAAGCGTTAATAACCAAACTAAGTTTAAAATATATCACACTGTTTGAATTTTTATATTTAATAAAAGTGTTAATAGCACTATTACTTCTACTAAAATTATACCACACCACCACACAGTTAAAAATCTAATATGAAATACAACTTTTATTTGCGTCTCTCGTACTAACTCACCGGCTTCTTATCCTAAAATAAATTAAAATAGATCTTTCTAGCAAACGTAATAAAGTACATATCGATTTATATTACTTATCTATTCCGATATTAACAATATAAAAAAAAATAAAATAGTTTCAAGTAAAAATTAAAATAGACATGTATTTCAACTGAGTTGTTTTACCGTTGTACACTGCCAGGTTTTCTGAGATACATTACTCGAGGTACAGGTACATATAAATATTCAATTTTAGAATGATAAGATGACAACTTACCTCTCCTTCTCCATTTGTTTGCTCCGTTGACTTTTCAGGATATACACCGGCTCTGAGGAAAGAGGCCTTCCAAGAGTCAACATCATCCTGTGTCTCACAACTCAATTCAAGTTGTTTGTAATCCTTATAAACATTTCTGCCTTCTGGATTAAACAAAGCAAACAAGTGGCGTCTAGACATGAATCCCTGTTCCAAGTCACGCAATTTTAATCCATCTAAAGGCAGCATATACTTCTTTTCGCGTTCCTAAAAGGGAATAGTGAATGTCAGCTACATACTCACTATATTACTGGTAGTGTTATAATTAGACTGCCGATTTTCTGCATTTATAGAATATCTGATCTTTTAAAACTGAGTATACTAAAAAGTTTCCAGAACTTTATTTAGGCTTTCTTTTAATTTTGAACCTACTAGAACCTTTCACAGAGTAAATACACTTTGCGAGAAATTAATTCATAAAATTCAATACTTGCATAAATATCCGCAGTCTAGTTATAATAGAAAAATATTTACTTCTTCATCTTTGAACCAAGAAATACTCTCTGATGTTAAGACAAACCAATAATCTCTGGAACCACCTTTCATTATACCAAAATTGTGAATGCACATATATCCTTTGCGTATTACTTGATTGCCTAATGTATGGCGTCCAGACTTAACAGCATTTTCTGATGACTGTTGCGCACTGTAACACAAGGAATAATGTATAATGAAATGTCAAATAGAAAAAATATATTTGAATACCCATGTACAAAAAATTCATTATAACAACTTGCCACAAAAACTTGTTAGTTTATCATATAAAAAATTATCTAGCAGGGTAAAAACCTAGCAATTTCTTATAACTTATCAGACGTTCACGCAAGTTAAAATTGAATCTTTTGCTAAATAAATTGTTAATTATAGTAAAATAATTATTCTGCTCAAAACGTGTGCACTTACAATCGAAAACCATTAAAAAATGAAACATGACAAAAGAATAACAATATAGATAGGATAATTACATGGGCAATGTATCTTTCGTTTGTTATTTGTCATAATAAAAATCCAACAAAACTTTAAAAATGTAATTGTACCTTTCAGATCGTATTAATTTATATGTGAAAACTATAACATACAGCCACAACAACTCCATGCATATACTCTTTCATACAGCTTTAAATGTCACACTTGTATATTTCTGAATATGCACATCATTTGTAACATGAAAATACACATAATATTATTACTACTTAATCAACACTGTAGAAATTTGGCAGGTCATAATGCACAAAAAGTTGCATAAGCACAAGTTACATCCATTGTGAAAAAACAGTGAAAAATGGAAACTAAGAATTGATGGTGCTGTATGAAATATACAATTTAGAGCATTTACGAATGAATTAAGCAATGAATGATTCATTGGATAGTATATTTGACTTGTGCAAGTATATACAAAAGATTGAAGCAATTTAGTATTCAAGAAATTATGGCTGTATTCTAGACTATGTGAAACTATAGAAAAAGTATAGCCAACGGAAACTCAATAACAATTTATATCTGACAGTGTATAATGTTTAATCATAATTCTATTTTTCATTTCATTAATTACACCTATAATTTTAGTATACATTAATTAAAGCTGCGTTTGGTTTGTTATTTTTCTTTTAAAGAGTATATAAAATTTAAAATTATAATATAGAAAAATACAATATTAGTAGAAAATAATAAAAATTCTACATTTCAATGTAATATCTAAAAAAATCCCAAATTTGCTAAAATGAACGTCTTATACATATTTCGGACTGTGCGAATCATAAAAACGAATTAAAAACCCGTTTGTTTTGGATTACATTATTTGTTATAAAAATGATAAAAACCGAATGCTAGGGAAAGTTAAATAAAAAATTAAGCACAAAAGAATAGAGAGCGTGAAAATGAAAAAGGAAGAAAAATGTAGTGTAAATCATTGTTTCAATGTACTTTATAATTCTTACCTTGCATTATGGCTACTGGCTGCCGCGCTGCCGATATAATTAAATTATTTCTTTAATTGTGAAGTATAAAGAATTAATGAATGGAAACAAATGTCAGGAGATGTGTATATGCAATGTAATTCAAGGAAAGACATACATACATGAAGTTGACATAACATGAAGTGTTAATGAAGAGAGCATTAATAGTATAAAAACATCACAAGAATTAATAGTACACAAGAGCTGCTGATGACAGAGAATAATTTCTTATGCCAAGTATGTCTTGCCTTTAATGATATTAAAGATAGTGTTACAGCAGAAATTATGATATTTTTATTGTTTACTTGAATTATTCTTAAAGTACGTAATAACATGAGAAATGAAATTGTACAAATGTAATCCTACAATTTTTACATGTCTTAAGAAATCAAAATCAGAAAAAGAATATTACTATAAAGGTAATATTTAAGTTAAATCTACATAAATAAACAAAAAGTCTAAATTTCTGTTTATCATATTCTATTTGGTCATTTAAATTTTGAACCCGTATCAAGTGTTGAGTAAGCAGAATGGAAAAATGAACAGACATTATTTTAGTTACATAGAAATAAAGAATTAAGATACAGAAATATGCATATATTCAAATAAAACACAATTTTATATGACTATGTATATGACACAAATTGTCATATAAATATACATGAAATAGACAGAATAGCAGTAAATTCTACTATTTATTAATGATACAAAGAATATATACCTTAGCTTTGAAGAGCAAAATGAAGTAACAATATTTGCTAGTTTAAAGCTTGCTATGTGAACTGATTTTAGCAAAGCATGCACATTTGTCATATACCATATAAACCTGATCACGATTGATACATTACTGTGACTAAATTTATATGTATTACATACAGACCATTTATCGTTTGATATCGATATTTATTATTTTTCAGAGACTCACATTTTTTACAATCAGGAAAATATGGTATAAATATATATTATATATGTATACATATTTGATATGGGTATTCAAATATATATCAACATATATAACATACTTTGCATTTAAAAAAAAGTTAAACAAGCAGACTAATGTTACTAACTGTATATGTGACCTGTCTGTTTTCATATTATCGTATTTCCACAATTTTTATAAAAACCTGAATTGAAAATTTCACAATAAAATCATAATTTTAATAGTATCTGTGTTTGACTTAATAAAGCATATTGTTATTATGTGAACTATATGTACTATGTGTTGAATTTACATTAGTCATGCAATATAGAATTCATTACTGCAAGTGAGAGAATTTTTTTCTCTTATAATCCACCAAAAACAGAATACTTAATTGCCTTTTATGTCATTAAAGATGCAAGAAGGTGTTCCAATAACAATTGTATTACGTTTTGATGCGAATATTGTTTTATACTGTTGAAAATACATGTAGTGACAACACTACGCATTTTCTCTTTCATAGAATTGGTAAGAGTAGCGGTATTTAATTTGAAGCCTGGGCGAAAATTTAAATGTTTGAAGTAATTTTTTTCTAAAAATGACAGTATTAATAGATAATACACCAAGGATGTTTTAACTCCATCGTTCATTATGCGTTTGCATCAAATATCGTCCAAAAAGTGCTTGCCCAGATAAAAAAGCATGAAATAAAGTACACTTTGCTCTCAAAACATCGATGTTTTATATTCACTTAATACTGCAAAACCAAACATGCATCTTTACTGGTGAAAGATGCAATTAGATATTCTATAATATATATTTTTTGTTTCAAATTGGAATGATCTTGTATAATCGTAAGTAATTGATACTCATGAAAAATTTCGCACCAATATATCATAAACGATAATATTACTATTTTAAATGTTTTTAACAAGTACAGACATATCTTCCAAGAGAGGACTACCAAAATTAGTGGATACAAGTACATTGAAAACTGTAGCTGCAGTCATGAATGTAATAAGAACAACATATAGCGCTAGATGTGCGATTTGTAAAAATAAAAATTTTGTATCATGTTATTTACTTTCTTCACTTTGCCGAATAACTACAAGAATAAATAATTAAACGTTGAAATAACTTACTTGGCGAAACCGATAAAATCTTCATGGTTTGTATTCATGTATGCCAGTTCACAATCAACCAACAGTACCAACTGCTCCTTGCACAACTGCTCACGCTGTCTAACATGAGTTGTAATGATACGTTCTGTTTCTTCCCTCAATCTAGGATAACGTGCCATCTGTCGTAGATAAGAACGGTGTTAAATACAATCTGCTTAAATTTTCTAAATACTGAAATAGAAATTTACGTACCCTATCCGTACAAATGCGTACAACATTGCTGAGTTCCTGTACAACTAAGTCTACACATTTTAGACTAGGTTCTTTGAGTCTATTAATTTGTTTCTTGACTATTGCCTCAAAAGCCATGTCAGGAGTAAATAGTCCTACCCTGATACCTATGACATTACACAGCTGTTAGAAATATTTTTAAACAAGATAGAATATTTTTACACGTTTATGTATATGCATGCAAGACTGTAATAATAGAAGTAAAAAATAATGATTTACCATGAATGTTTCTAATGGCAAAAGCTATTTCTCTTCTCAATTCTTTTTCGTCAAATTCCATTTTAACTATTTCAAAAGGAAAACGTTCGTGGAATAATCTATTAATTTTAGCACCGCCGCTAAGTTCATTTGTATTGATTTGTGCAGATCCGGAACCTTCTATAGTCCTTTCGAAATCTGATTGAAGCTGCTGTATCATCCTTAAAAATGTTTTTCTTTCAATCAATGCATAGAAAAGCACTGAACATTAACATTAATTATATGGATAGAGAGTCACAACATTTAATGTTGTAATACTGTGAATTCAATGAATTTCATCATTTTAGAATTCTTTGTTAGTCAAAACAATTGTTACTGTTCAACCTTTTGTTAATTAAATGAAGGTATTCAAACGCATAAGAATTTTCATGCAAATGATACACACAATGTTAACACAATGGAAAACTGTAATACCTACATATACTTTTGAATAGATCTGAAAAATAAAAAATACTCTAAATGTCAAGACCCTCCACCCATGAAATATTTTAAAACAAAAACTATGGAAGAAAAGTTTAGTTTATGAAAAAAGAACAGTGCGTGAGTTTACATTACAAGATGTGAGACATTTTATGTCAATTTTAGTTACATATTTATTACATGTAATTTTTCCTTTCACGAATCGAAAGTTTTATAAATATTTTATTATATTAGACTATCTAAGTAATAAACTACATTAGAAGTGTACTTACTGCAACATAGCTTTTGTCTTTATAGCAGGATCATCAGGTCTAAATTGTTTATATTGCTCTACATCCTTTTCCAATGTAAGCAATTGCTTTTGCAACCTATCTCTTAATGCTGGCAAAGTGTCTCTGATATGATTTGTCAATTGTTGATTCAAAACTCTCTGCAAGTACGGTGTTCCTAATCTATCTGCTAGATGTCGGTAAGATGGGTGGCTAATAAATAAAAGAGTATTATATATAATTTGATAAACCATCTGAACCTCATAATTAACTGTCTGTACCTTAGGAAAAACTTGCGTTCCGCTGCTAAAGCATTTTTGATATCTTTTCTACCTTCAATATCTTTCTGACTTCTATTAACAACACCTATGTAACCTCGCCGTAAAGGAAGTAATTTGTTTTCCAAAATATCCCTTGCATCGGTACCATCATCCATAAGATCCAACTTTGTAATAACACCAATTGTACGTACACCTTCAAAAATTGATAACATAAATATATATCTATCTGTACATAGTATTAGATGTGAATTATAAATTGAAATCTACCTTCAGGATCTACTTCTTTAGCAAGTTTAAGAGCATCACTATTTGCCAAATCAGTGTTTGCTGGAGTTACTGCCAATATAAGACAATTTTCTCTTTTGATAAATTGGAAAATCATAGCTTTAATTTGAGCTTCAATATCTATTGGTTGATCCCCAATTGGTACTTTTGTGAGACCAGGTAAGTCAATCAGTGTCAAGTTTAGAACTGTTAATGAAAAATATGTTAATTAAATATTTTCATACATATTGCTCCAATTCAGAATTAAAGAAAATTTACCATTTGGTGAATATACTCTTAAATTAATGGGTATATTGGAAATACCCTTGTTACTGCCTGTAACCCTGTCTGTTTCTGATTCAATTTCCTTCCGTACATCATCAAAATCCACAAACTTTTTACCCTTACAATGTAAAAATTCTGCAAATTCTATAATGGAAAAACAATTTATAGAATTAAACTTCTTAAAAATATATTTGTGTAGAATTTGATGTTAATTAAATATTTGTTCAATCACTTGTCTTTATGATGAAACTAATGAAATATTCAATTCTCTGCTTATCAGAAGTTCATTGTGACAGGAAACATGATAATTTGATAGATAATTACTAAGATACTATATCAACTTCGTATGATAATTAACAAAGAAGTTTCATGAAGAATACACAATTAATAAAACTTACAAACAAAAGCAATGTTCTCGTGAATAGAATATACATTTAAGGTGAAACAGATAAGAGAATATATTTATTTACATAAGCTAATCTAATCTTTGTTTGAAGAATTTTAATTTTCACTTATGATAACTGCTTAAAATGTTTAGAAGTTTAGATTTTTTCACTTCATGATATGAAAGATGGATAATTAATTTATCTATGATGACTCACCAGTAGTACTATTAATCAATTGTAAGATAAGAGGTCTTCTGGTTACGATTCCTGATCCTCTGGGTAAGAAATCCCTTAAAAGAACATTATTAGAGTTTTTATCAGTGTGATAATTTGGGAAATCTGCATTTTGTTTTTGTAAAGCTGTACATACTTTAAAAATAGTGTTTAAAAAACAAACTTCCATTAAATAATAAGCCTGATTAGGCATAAAATAGAAATTTCAATAAGAAATAGGTATCATCAAGGAACTACATTTACTTTACTTTAATAATGACATTTTTTACATTTATTTTCATTGCATAAAATAATTATTACTTCCATTGTCATACTGATTATTAACTGATAATAAAATTGTTAAAGATATATAATATTTAGGGCGTATTTATATAGTTATAGATTTTTGAAATTTGCGTACTGAACACAAATATATTAATATTTCGGTTGATAACCACCTTCGTATAACAATAAACGAGCTGCACCACAAACAATTATAAGTAATAATTCTCATTGTCTAATATATCTAGTCCCGACAATTCTACAAAAGGTCAAATATCTAGTAAACGAGAAAGAACGGTTTGACAGGTCGCCGTGTAGGCGGCCTCACATCATAAATGTATAGTTGATTTTTATGTCACGATCGATAGGGATTAAAATAGTTAACCTAAAGAGGCATATAACAAGGGGATAGTCAAATTAAAATAACCGATGACGGATATCAAAATTATAACGTGGCGTAATTCGCCACGCCTTTCATCGAAGGTCCGAATATTCTCCTAGGTATCGTGAGTCAATCATCGATTACGTTAGATGAATAGAAAAAACAGTGGGATGATAAGGACAACGGGGATACTTACTTTCCGACAAAGTTTTCCAGAACGGAACTTTTTCCAGCGCTCTGGCCACCTACCACTGCGATCTGTGGTAGATCGAGTTGCATGTGCACCCCAAGTTGTGTGAACGCATCCTGCAGCTTATTCACGATGGGGATCAACTGTTCCATACCCGTATTTCCTGCCATTTTGTCGAGGCTGTTGGCTCACTGACCCAAGAACACGATCGTTTTCAGTTCCACTTCCACTGTCCTGTGTCCTGTGGGCGACACCGAGCTGCCACCACTTCCTCGCACAACCGTCGAGGGTAGTTGCCAAAATGATCCTATCCGTTTTCGCGTGGAATACGCACTACCAAAATGGCCGATTCCGCGAAGGCACGTCAGTCAACATTGAATTTCACCGCATTTTTTCCAAAAATTAGCGATTACACGCTGCCACAAATGAAAGACGTCAGCCACTGGCCTACTGCGAGAAAGTCAGAACACAGACTTCTCCACAATCACTGCGTTCACATAAATGAGATCCAACGTACGGACCGAGGCACGTAACGTTTCAATCGATAATCGAAGCGTGCGCACAGGCGACTTCGTTGTGACCCACTTTTCGCCGCGAGATAAAATCCATATCGTCCTCCTGCTGCTGACCTTTTTCCACTTCCCACCGTAATTTGGTATCGAAGGAAGCTGGAACTACACCTTTTGTTTGAATTCTCGATCTTATCGCGATTAACAATCGTCTTCTTTGCTGAGTATACCCCACTGATTTTGAACGTTACGCGGCAAATACTTGTACTGGCGTGGAACGTTTGTAATCATTATGAAAGTATGCGGCGACCAATGAGAATACCACTTTCCAGTTATTACATTTGTAAAAACGATTGTTTCATTGGCTAATGCTTAATGCATAAGTATTCATTACAAATAAAGAGATTTCACGCTACAATTATATATGTATATATATATATAAACTAAGCTCATTAAATATTTTGCTGTTACCTCTTGTTACAAATAATTACAATTAATGTAATTAGTTCTTAATTCTGATGGAGACTTGTGTTATCATACCCTTGTGACACTAGATATGTATGTATATATATATATGTAGTAAACATTATTCCGATAGTTTATTTTGGATAATTACAAAAGAAATGATTGATCTTATTTAGGAATTTGATTTAATAAAATATTCGGTAATCAATATGGTGAACGTGTAATATATATTATTGTGGGAAATTTAATTGGAATGTCAACAATTTTAAATATACCTGAGTTTGCGTAGTGCAGTATTATGCCAATACCTTCTAAAGCCTTTTCAACGTCTGCCAAAGATGAAATAAAAATTACTAGATGTTAGATGATATGATTGGATAATACGATATGCTGTGAAAACGCAATATTTTACTTCTAAATCAAGAGATAAAAAAGATACACATATCGGAAAGAATATTATAACCGATTCTTAGAATTTTCAAATTACGATAATTTTATTTTCACGTTCACTTTCATTCAGTACAATAAAAAAATGGTAACCAATAAGATAAAAGGGTTACAGAGAATTGAAGTTGGTTGTTTTTAATTTTACTCTGCAATGGGTTGTGTTTGGTTGTGTTTGCGCCTTGCATGATGAGAAAGATAATTCGGAATTCTGCAATAAATAGTACATTTAAAGTCTTATACATAGATGAATGATAAGATGAATGAAAATTGAAGGGATTGACTTAAACCGATTAACGGAGTGATCGTTAAAAATACAAATCAACTATAAATTCGGTATACATATATGCAGTGAGTGAGGGCGCGATCAGTATTTTCCTACGATACGAGTCCAAAATGTCAGACATCGATAAATGGATAGAAATTGCAAAAGAGTGCAAATACCTTCCAGAAAATGACCTTAAGGTAAATAGTACACGCAAAGTATTATTTGTTGATGTATAAAGTGTAATATATTTGGTCGACGTATGTGACCAGATGTTAAATTTATGCGCATAGGTTACTTAGATTCTTTATATTTCTGTTCGATAATTAAATTAATTTTGTTTAGAAACTTTGTGACATAGTATGTGACTTATTACTAGAAGAATCGAATATTCAACCAGTGTCCACTCCGGTCACCGTATGCGGAGATATTCACGGCCAGGTAAACTTCATACTTTTGCTTTAACCTCAACATGACTCCGATATCTGTAGCAGATAACGATAACTACTAATTCGATAGCGAATTGTGTGAAATGCTTCTACATACATTGATTGAAATCTTTCATCTCATTTCAGTTCTATGATTTAGAAGAATTATTTCGTAATGGAGGCGCTGTGCCTGATACATGTTATATATTCATGGGAGATTTTGTAGATAGAGGGTATTACAGTTTAGAAACATTTACCCGTCTACTCACACTTAAAGCTAAATGGTCTGATAGAATAACATTGCTTCGAGGAAATCATGAATCCAGACAAATTACTCATGTTTATGGTTTTTATGGTCAGTATATAATTTATTGGAAAAATATATTTAAAAGCATGAAATATAATTTATTACCCCCATTTATATAATAATAATTATTCATGTTTCTTACACAGATGAATGTCAGAACAAATATGGCAATGCTATTGCATGGAAACATTGTTGCAGGGTATTCGACTTGCTCACAGTTGCTGCTGTTAGTATTCATAAATACATGTATTAATATCACATATATCTATTCAGGTACATGTTTAATATAAATGTAAATGTTTTTCTTTAGTTAATCGATGAACAAGTACTGTGTGTACATGGTGGGTTATCTCCAGTCATTAGAACATTAGATCAAATTAGAACGATCGAGAGGAATCAAGAAATCCCACATAAAGGTATTTGTATTGTTATTGCATTATATTACATACACTATATTATATTTATTTTTAGGTGCTTTTTGTGATTTGGTTTGGTCTGACCCAGAAGATGTAGAGACATGGACTATTAGTCCACGTGGAGCTGGTTGGTTATTTGGAAGTAAAGTAACATTTAAATTCATGGAAATCAACGACCTTAAACTTATCTGTAGAGCTCATCAATTGGTTAATGAAGGTATGTACATTTACATACAGAGTTTTCATATGTATAATACACAAAAGTAATCAATAATTGTTTTTCTTTCTCTTTATTTACAGGATATAGGTACATGTTTGATGATAAACTTGTAACAGTATGGTCAGCTCCAAATTATTGTTATCGTTGTGGTAATATAGCTAGTATTCTACAGTTCACAACTGTCGATCAAAGACGCCCAGTGCTATTCGAAGCAGTGCCTGATTCTGAAAGAGCAATTCCACCTATAATCCCCACACCATATTTTTTGTGATCTCACTTAGTGGTCTATTTTTTTAGACACAGAGTGGTGGTGTCTGCGTTTAGGCTTCATGGAATTACATGACTGTTTCTTCAAGTTGATGGGTACAGGCTGGTACCATGACAGAGCATACAAATTTTTAAAAACGCATCAAAGGATGATACATTACTCAAAATTTTTGTTAAAACAAAATTTTTTTATGTTTTTTTATAAGAAAATGTATCGTCTAGAAAACAGAATCAACTTGCGATTGTTTGTTGAGGGAAAATATTATACATTTTTTAAGGAAATATATATCCATTTTTGTATGTTGGAGAGCTAACTTTTATACATAGCACGCCTGCCATTGCATCAGCCTGATTTCTCTAGTATGTAAACTGTTTTGCATCGAAACAAATGTGAACACTCGGTGGTCTAGACGCTTTTGCTGTCTACTGTGTACATTCTGTGAAGCATTCGCATCTCAGAGCAGTATTGTGGGTGAATCGTTGTAAAGGGCTACAAGCTTTTAAGCAAGTTACGAACGTAAACAAGTGACTTTTTTTAGCGTATGAATGAATAAATGAAAAACATTTAAACATTCCGGCAAGGGAGAGTCTCTGAGTATAGTGAATGCTTAATTGATATTACGATCGTTGTGCGTAGAATTCAGGTTTATTAAAGCGTGAGCATATATACTACTGTTAAGGTCTTCCTGAGTATGTAATTAATCTGTTTCCGGTTTAGGTATTGTGTGTGCTGCGTGCAATTCTTTTTATTCTAGATGAGCAATCAGTGTTTTTAGCAGCATAAATTCGGCGTTTATGCCGAGGTACAAATAGTATGTAGCAGTAGCCAAAGTTTTCCTGCCTAGGTAAGGAAATTCAGTAGAACAATTGTACTATATAATAGAATTTTCGTTATTATTTTTATGCACATGACAATTTCTATATTATATCCCGTTTCTCTTTTATATTATGAGCTGAACATAATAACACGCAAAACAATGTCTAAAAGTACTGAAACAAAATTTTTCATTTCGGATTGTTGGTCTTTTCAAGAATGTTTTACTTTTATGCGTACTAAGCAATAATTTGATTATTATTATTACTACTATTAATTATTATCTTATTATTATTATTATTATTCTCGGAATCTGTACAGTTTTCATATTATATGCCAAATCGCTATCGTACTGAATAATTGTAATAACTAGATTGTCATAAGTTCATTAATGTAGGGAGCAATTTTTAAGAACCGAGACCTTTAGCAATGTGCCTCTAAATTAATAAGCGTTTGTGTAATATAATGATACGATATTGATACATAATTAACGGGAGTGCACTGGCCATTGCGTACTATAAGCCTGAATTCTGACCATCGATTTGTTAGCTCATGATATTCCTAACCGATCACAGACTCGACAAATACGGCATTGGCATTGGCATTGGCACTGGCACTGGCTGTCAAGTTAAAACTACTCTATTTTGAATTTTGTGATATAGTTCAAGCGAGGCATGTGAAAATTTGCGTCGACGTTTGTAACGATTTTCCATGTCCGGATCGTTTGAGGATGTTTTGAAGACTTGTTATCTCAAGAAATATAGTCACCTTTTAAACAGTGCCTTCAGAACTATAACACGACGGTCTATTAGAAGTAAATACTTTCTACTGACGGATAATCATAGACGAACTAGGGACGGATCATACAAATAACAGAGAGCTTAACAAAGGGCGTGTGTAAGGAATTTTCTTCAAACTTTTTTATAATTCCTGAAAATATCATTCTGATAATCCCCTTTTAATCATGTTTCGACATTATTATTCTCGTAAGATATTTCGGCGTCCTCTTCGATTGCTTTACATGTGGATTCTTTATACACTTTTTGGAAATGGTGAAGAGGAAGAAGAAGATGAAGGTGAAGACATACGATTTATATATATATCCAGATTGTTACGATATGCAATTACACAATTTTACATTAATCACTGCTTTTGTATTTACATAATCGATATTGTATTAAATAGATCATTGCGTAATGCAAGGCACGGAGTTTACGTTACAAACTCGACTCGTCGGTTTTGCAGCCTCTTGTACCGTAAAACGAAGGTGATTCATGAGAATGCCTGTGTAGTACGGACATCCTAGGGAACGTAAAAGTATTAGCTTCTGTGCCTACCTAGGTATTCGCGGCAATCACCTTTTAAATGCCTCTGTCTGTGATCGCTTTAACCTTATCGAAGTGTCCAAGCGCTTGCGACTATTTAGGATCGGTAAGCTCTAACAGGGAGATATAAAGACAATGACATTAAACGACGAGACTAACTTAGCTTAATGTTCCGTGCAGGAGCTTGAACACTGCGCATAATCCTTAAAGATCTCACAGGTAGACAACATTTTAACGAACATGTACCTTGAAAGTATAGACTTTGTTATGTTAATGTAACGAAACGTCTGTAATAAAAATGCGCAAAAACTGCAAACGACATTATCAATACAACAATTCCCGATGCTGTTAATTGTGATAAAATAAAGTACAACACGTGTATACGTGTATACACGCACACAATACATATAGTATCGAGAGATATTGAAAGGAGAATAGAATGATAAAACTATTCATGTAGGGTGTGGGTATGGAATAATAAAGATTTCATAAAAATCTGTTTTCATCTTTAATTAGTTTATTTACTTGCAATAATATTATTTTCATCGTATATATAATAATTCTATTTACTCCTTACTATTTATATATAATAATATAGTGTATTTATTTTCACTATGTATAATATATTATCTACATTTATAATCCCTATGAAAGGCATCTCCAAACAGACTTCAGATTTACTTTTTTTTTTTAAAATATTTTATTTATTCATAAAAATACAGGGGGTTTACGCGCCACCTGTGAAATCTAGCCTGTTTTGCCCGGAACCGACAGCCTTCCGATTACTAGTCGGATTAATAACATTATATACCATGTAATCCTTAATCCTTGCAATAACAACGAATTTATTGTTTCTCGTATCATAGTTTATGTACACGTAACTCACGTAAACAAGTCTATAGATTTAATGTTAAAGATTTGTAGTGCGCCCCTCTTTTACTTCCCGTTGAAACGCGTTTTATGCGTAATTATATTACTAATATACACTCACCACTGGGTAAAACAATTAAAAAAAAAACGAAAAGATTACACGATTTCGAGAGCTTTCAATACAAAGAACGAAATGCAATGAAAATGCAACGGACAAGCTCGATGAACATACGCGAAATCGTCAGCAACGATGAAAAATAAATTAAAACTAGAATGTAAATTTTTTTTACAATAAACGTAATATATTGTATACAATATGTATACATATATACGTATTCTCTTCTCCATCGACTAGAGTGTTTGGTTCAAGACACGCGTTGATAAAATAAACTCGCAGTCTGTTTAAAACGCACTGCATTTGCTTTCAATAATTTGATCGATTGTTTAAATACAGTATTACTTTAAAATTAACGATAAGCTTTTTTGTTCGTATTGAAAATAAAAATTGTAATAAAATTTCATGATTTACACGCACGTAAAAAAAAAGTCTAAGTACAACCAGAAATTATAAAACGTATAAAACGTATGAAATGCATGAACGACTCCCAGTGGAATAATAATGACTTTGTGCAGACGCGCTCGCTTATGGTGCTCGAAGTTCCGTGAAATCATAATCAATTCGAGCGCGGTAATTGCAAATCACTCGTAATCCGCTAACAAGAAATCGTATTTCGCGCGCGTACTCCGTGAGAAAAATTATTGGTGACGAACCCAGCATCCGGTTCCCGGCAGAGCGGCGATTCACACGGCGCCCAAATCTCAGTTACAAAAGGAATAGTCGAAGGTAAACGAGACGATAAAAATGTACTTCCTAAACGTAGGTAGAAATTGGTAACTTTGACTCACTCATTGAAAAAGTATCTTTTTTTTTTTTCTTGCCAATCCGGCATTCGTGCTTCCTTTCTGCCCGTCGTTTCTGGGTTTACGTTTGTATTTCGCGCTTCTTTCGTTGTACAGTGACAAGCGACGCGCACTTCAGTGCTAACCAGTCAGTTCGAAGTGATAGTGCGCGTTCGAAATCCCGTGGAAAGTTTTTTCGTTTTACCGAAAAATTAACAGCTGCACAGTAGGAATGGACGTGCTATTCCTTTCCTGCGAAGTTTGGAGATCGCGGAGACTATAATTGTAAGTGAAATTTCTAACAATTCAATTAACTTTGTGATAATTTTTTTGAACGCCTAACCGACGCGTAACGGTTTTGGTGTACCGGATCGCCGTTCGAATACTCACATACAAATTCTATCGATTATTGCCACACATTCGTTATGATCGTGACACTTATATAAATGTTTCCTTGCGGTATATAATTAAAAACAACATCCGCGAATGCTCGATAATATGTCACGCAATTTCGCTCATAAGTCGATCATTATTTTTAACGCGCCATTGGCAACACAGTGGTGCCGCTCGACACCGTACAAGAACAGGTATAACACAGAATTATACAAAGAGACTGGACTAGTACTTTCAACATAGTTATTATTAAACCTTTCGTACAATATGTACAAAGTTAAACCCACAAACGAGAGGCATATGTTTATTCTTTAAATTTCTTGTTTTTTTTTCTTTTACTTTTGCTCAAATAGACTCTCACTCGCACTTAAATATTAAAGGTTGGGCATGATAATACTCGCGGTAGTATAATGCCCTAAGTCTTGCTGATCCAACGCGTAGCTCTCCCGTAAGCAGCTACTGTACTCCCAGACATCGATGCACAGTTTCATTTTATACAATATACATATTTATATATTTATATTTATATACTTATATATATATATAATGTAATTATAAAGACAGTCCAACTCGGTACTTGTATATCCCTTCAACGCGATGTTTTTTTTTTTCTATCTTTCGTTCTTTCGCGACCGACGACACTGCCACTCGTATGTACAACACTAACAATAAATAGGACGCGACGAGAAAAAAGTTCTTCGCGGGAAGTACATAATGTTTACGAACTAACGAGAATAAAAAGGGGGGGACAGAGACACGGTTCGGGAAAGGTAAGAACTGGCGGGAAGGCGGGACTGGGACGCGTTAAAAGGTTATAGAATATCCACGAAGACGGGGCACAGAAGGAAGAGAGCAAAAAGGAACGAACGTATCGCCTAAATATCATACGTTTGCTTTCCCCTCTGTATTGCACTATACAAACGGTAACATCACAAAAGCAAATTTTTTAACGCACAGATACGGGCAACTCATGGCGCGAACACTTTTTACGCTCAAAAAAAAAAAAAAAAGGAAGATAAAAATGTCCGTGGAACGCGCTGGCCAATGGTCAATGTTTCTTACGAGCGTAAATTTAGCGAGGTATCCTTTTCTGGATCATTTTTCTTGCACGGGTGCGACCTTATCGAACGTCACAATTGAACACAGAGACGAGTGTACGATGATGTCCGGGGAATACAGGAACCGTTACCCCCCCATATCCCTAGGCTAGTAGGCCCAAGGTCTGCGAATAGTTCGTGTTGATTTTTCGTGTGTGCGCCGGTGACGACGAGTTCGACGGTACCGATTCCAACGGGGAAAGGCAACGGTTTCTCGGTCGCGACGAAAAAGTCCCTGTGGTGAAAAAACGTTCGCCGAACACTTTGAGCAGAAATTCGATTTCTTTTTTTTTTGTAATATTGTTGACTCGATCCGGAATCGTGAACGATGATGTTCGAAATCGAAGGAAACGAACAAGATAAATGCAACGACCGAAGACATTCAGCAAATGATAAGGATATCCTTAGGATGAAAATGGGTTTGGAGGTGAAAGTGGGACAAAAGAATCGTTGCCGTCGTACTCGTGGTCGCTCGCGTACCGGTGATTTAGCGCATAGTTTACGATAACTTCTATGGAGGCAAGATGAAACAATCACGTTGCGATAGAACGTGTGCCGATTAACCATTACATGCGTATACAAGGAGCATTATTCTTTTTATTCCAAGGACACGAACGACGTTTTTTCGACTGGCGTCAGCCACCGGTTTTGCTTGTTTCTTGCGTTTCACTTTGTTTTCTTTCGTTTTTCTTTTTGTTCCTAGAATGCGTTTCGCTATCTTAAATAATTGAGCCAATCCGGAGAACCTGGTATTTCCGGGTCGCGAAGAAACCAAATATCACACGTGTCGATGACACACATACATATACACATATGTATATCTACATTTGCTAAATGTGGGAATCGTTAGTCGAACATTTTGTTTTTTGTTTCCTTGCATATATGTATATACATATAGTATATACGCTTCCCCGCAAGAGAGAAATACCAAGTCTCTTGCATAGTTCGTGTTTCAATCGTAATTCATTATTATACGTTTTATCTTTCGTTTCTTTTTCCCATTATTATAATACTATGAAATTATCGCAGTCGTTTCAGCGAGGAATCATAAAAAAACAATCTTTCGCCGTGGATTAATGATGAACACCCGGTGTTTTTTTTTTTTTTATTCTTTGAGAACGAGAAACGAAGTGACCGCGCGCTCGTTCGGTACGATCCAACCCTCGTCTCAATTCTTTTTACAAATTATCTCTAGAAATTCATTAGAACTATATAAAAGGCTCCGGAAGGATTTCAAAACACTCGCAAAGTCGACAAACTTAGCGTTTAAAAGTCGATTAAAAAATTTTGTAAAACATTTACACGGTCAACAAGTAAAATTTATCAAAAGTCATCGAACTTCCTTAATCTGTAAAGCAGTGCTGTCTGATAGAAAAGCTATCGGATCTTATTCCGCTACGCGCAAATTAGTTCTCCCCCATCCCCTAAACGTTTCCGCGAGTTTTCTAACTTCACCCAGAGTAGTTTTCTTCTCCACTACACCTTCGTCAGTCGGCACATCGAGGGAGGAGATCGAACATGTATTATATCCCCCAACAGTAGACAGCACTGTAAGCTCTATAAACGCGTGCCATGATCTGAGATGAGGATCGGACCGTTCGAGGGACATAAAAAGAGTGGTTACGAACAAGGACATATGTCTTCGACCGGTGAATGATGCACGTTACAGGTAGAGGTTTACGTCGATGGTGATAAAATGTAAATTAACAAAACGGTGAATATATACATATATATGTATATATGTATATATAATATAGTCTTCTGTGTTGCGCGCTTGGACCATGATTCGGAGTGTGGATCGATGACGTGAACGACAATAACAACGAGGACGACAATAAATTCCATCCGAAATCTCTTCGACAGCTTCAGTTCTTTGTTTCTTTTTTGTAAACCATGGACACCGTTAACTTTCTGCACGTACTATATATGCATAGTTCCATTTTCGTTTTCTTTTTCATAACAACGATCACGCGAACGTCATCCATTTTGCCGAGGATACAATTAGAGTTTCTGTTGACGACATTCTACATTGATATTCGAACGTTCGAATGGCTAGTAGGTAATGTTCTGTATTTTCTCTTCTGTCGATTGGTAACTGAAATATCACACTTATGCTTGCAGTACGTGATAACGACGATCGCTGTTTCAGGAGAGGGGAATAGAATCACATGGGTACATAGATGAGATGGGTTGCGAGTATGCAGGCGTTCATAGTTCTGTCTGTTTAAGGGGGATTCGTACTCTAACGTATGCATATGTATGCATTTCTATTTGTGTTAAAGATGATACTTATCGTACATAAAATCACGTGCGTACGTGTCGGTCGATGTTTCGTCGAGCGATCGTTTTCTCTGCCATTGTTCGTAACCTGTCATCGGTCATCATTATCATCATTATCACCATCATCATCATCATTATTATTATGATCACCATCATCATCATCGGTCGACTGATCTTTCGGTCGTTTTGGTAGCCTGCTATTTTAGTCGATAGTGGTGGAGAGTAATAGTATAGTAGCAGTAGTAGTAGTAGTAGCAGTAGTAGTAGTAGTAATAGTAGTAGTAGTAGGTGGTAGTAGATGGCCTACAGTGAGCGTACGTAACGAGAGTCTTATTATCGATCGGATTATGCAACGTGAACACACAATGACGTAGTTGCGCGGTACTGCGTACAGAAATATATTATTATAGTCTTTTAGTTTCGATAAAAAAGTTCAGTTCCCTCCTCGATTGATTTATTTCATCTCGAGGTGGCGCGCTTTCTCTCTCTATTATCACTCGCCCTCTCTTTCTCTCCCGCTCACGTTCAAGCTCTTTCTCTCCCTCCCTTTCGAAACTTTTATATTTTCTTTTATTATTTAATTTCTCATATTTCTTATTTTTAAAGCATTCTCTCCCCTTCCGATATTTTCTTCTCGTTCTCCCATTCCTTATTCCTCGTTTCTCCTTGTCTCCTTGTCTGTTTTATCACGCTTCTCACGGGTTCTCCGTTCCCTCCTTTCAACCCACTTTTTGTTTGTACAACGCAACGAACACACAGATTTATATTATTTATATGTATATATATATATATATATACTTTTATATAATTATCATACATACGCAAACAAAGCTTTTCCCTTTTTTCGTTATCCTCAACGAGCCCGTCTGTTTTGTATACATATTCTGTTTGCTCTTGTTCGTTCGGTTCTATTACGTTTTCTTCTGCTTCGTATTATTTATATATGTATATATTTATATGTTCTGTATGTATAGTATGTATATAGGTATTCAGCTTCGTTTATCGTCAGTTGGGCTTTTTTTTTATTTACTATCTTTGAATTGCTGAGTTCAATAGGAAAGGAACGTAGAACATTTTACTCTCGAGTAGAAGAGCCGCCGCCGATTGTACCTGGAATTCAGCAAGAAAACAGGATCGACTTAAGCCGGACGGTTCTTGATAGTTTCTTTTTTTTTTATTCGATATTTCAAAAATGATTTTAAGACGAAACGTTACTTTCTGGATCGTTCTATTCCCGATACAAATTTATAGAAGTTATCGTGTCTCGTGTATTTTTTTTTATCCATGCGGAATCATTGGTTAACTAATTCTATCGATGATCCTAATATTTTTCCAATTTTCATCGATTATTATAATTTTCTGAAAATTTCGAAACATTTTGCACGCGACAAGAACGTACGACCATCGGATATTTCTGTATTTCTCGAACTTACTTCCGGCAACCTGACGAGAAGATCGTGAAACCGACTCGGCTGTTGGGGCGCGCTGTGCTCGACGAAACTTCGCAGACAGCTCATGTACCGTTCTTGTATTTGTTCTAATTCCATTGTACCTCCACGTGCTAAGAGAAGACAGATACAAGAGAAAAAATTGTGAATCGGTCGACATTTTTACTGATTTCTGGCCTTACTTCTTTCATTTGGTAATTGGTTATTTGTTTCGTATTTGGTTTAGCAACAAGTTTGTTCAGATTTAACGACAATGATTTATTTTGTATTTAAAACATTTCATGAAGTTAATTAAAAAAACCTTAGAATCAGCCAATTATTATTCGAGTTTGCAGCAAACAATTTAAGTTGTAAATGAAATTATTTTTATTATTCTATAATAGAATCATTAAAAAGGCACTAATTACTCAACCCAACATCGAGACAAATGGTTGCATGAAATAATGGAATATGCTTAATTAATAACTACGTTGGATAGAAGAAATTTATGTTTACAACTGCTCACAGTTGTGCAAACTCAAGAATAAAACCAGCAATAATAATAATAATAAACTTTATACAAAGTTTACTTTAAGTTTATTAATCAGGAACAATTACTTCGTTTTGAAGTTCAATTATAAACTTTCAATGAAATCCCTTATTCATTTATATAGCAGAAGTAATTATCTTTTTGTTTCAGTGACAAACTTTGATCATACCGACGTTATGTTTTACTGTCTCTAATAGAATAGCAAAAATAAACAAATGTATTTCATATTAAAAATATCATCTGAACTTTCGAACAATTGCGAGCAGTATTGTTAAAATCAAACTTACATTTTGCATCTCCAATTGCAGCATTATCAGGAAGTAAAAATTTCTTTATATTTTCTATTTCTCGGCAATATAATAAGAGAACGTAGATAGATCGAGGAATTTTGTTTGTCAAACGATCGGTAATTAAAAATACTTACCTTGTGAGAGCATGGTGATTACTTTCAGACAGACGTACTCCTCCATCCGTAGCCTCACCCTCCTGAACATTAACGTAACGTATGTGATCTTTTCTACCATGAGCCCTACGTCTTGCCGTAATTGGTCCATGGTTATCGGCCGGCCCATCATGCTGGTTAGGCACGTTTGTAGCGTATACATGTTATTCGAAACCTGCACGCGAACAAATCCATTAAATCGAACCCTTAATAAAATTGTATATGTATTAAATACACATTTATCTCCTGGTCTGATAAGTGGCCATTTTATGTCTCTATTCGCGACCGATTTTAAAGCAGGGGTTGAAACGGCCTAGCAAATAACTGTTAATGACTGTTACATAAAAGTTCTGTCTAAAACGATTATGAAGAATCGAAATAATACTGTAGCTGTTATGGGTAAAAAAGGTTCTGGTCTGTATCGATTCCGGTTACGGTTCCACAGTCTATTATATCGGTTCTATATCGGTCCAAAACTGTTTTTAGAACGGTTCTATCGTTCTTCTGGTTCGTTTCTTTCTACACGAATTGTAAGAAAGAGTACTCAGCTTCACGTGCCAGTTTGGATTACCGGAGATAGAAACAATCGAAAGGCTTAGCGACAGAGAGTCTCTAGGATTTTTTGTTCCTTTAAAAATTAATATGTTCCTTTATCGTTAGAGTAAACTAAACTGGCACACGACGGTGAGTATCGTTTCTTGCACTTCGTGTAGAAAGTACCGATCTATGAACCGTTTTAAATCGATACAGAATCGACATAGAACCGATACTATATAGAACCGATTTAGAATCTAAATAGAACCGATATAGAACCGATACTATATAGAACCGATTTAGAATCTAAATAGAACCGATATAGAACCGATTTAGAATCTATATAGAACCGATATAGAACCGATTTAGAATCGATATAGAACCGATGTAGAACCGATTTAGAATCGATATAGAATCGATATAGAACCGATTTAGTACTGATATAGAACCGATATAGAACCGATATAGAATCAATATAGAATCGATATAACGTGGTCAGAACCTTCTTCACCCTTAACAGTTTACTATTGCTTTCTTCGTAACTGTTTCGAGAAACGGAATTAATACCATAACCATAACCGTTTTCAATTCCTGTTTTAAAGTGAAAGTTCCGAATCTCTGAATCGGCGATGTCGCGGTGACTTCAACGCGGTAATCGAAAGAGTCGGTAATTACTTCTTGCATAAAGTCCGCTCCCGTCCCGTCGGTACCGGCGTTGGTGAACTTGTGCTGACCATGCATCGCTTGATAGGCGGATGTGGTCAGCACCAGTAGCTCGTGCCACTTGTGGGTGAGCAACCTTGTGTGAACTTCGACCGGTAGCTCAAGGTAAAACGGTAACCTTTTGGTCCACTGCACCAACTTGTACACTATGCTGTCTCCTATCTGACACAGCTTCTCACTTAAGTCTGATTTATGGTCCAGTAGCTCGTCCAAGTTCTGGAATATGAGCGAGAGACGATCGTGAATGGGATGGATGGATGGGTAGTCTTGTGTTCTATAGGTTGTATTCGAAACCAAGACAAGATCTCCTTTTACACACGATACAATAAATTCGACATATTAAGTGTACCAATAAGTAGTTCATACGTTTGTTTGTGAAATTTTTGTTTTTATTATTCTTCAACTTTTGGACTAGCCAGAAGGTTCGGAAAATTATTATAAATTTAAACTGCATTGCCAGTGTATTAAAATCATTGTGGATTGCTTATTGGTGCACCCCATACATGGTTTGTTCATCGAATAGTATATGAAATTGAAGATTAAGTTCGAATCGCGTTTATGAACGCTGTTTATTCACTATTTTGCATTAAGCACTGCTTGAAAATGCGAAGCTTGTGAACGTACCCTCAATGTAGCGATATCTTGGAACTCGTCGCAGTCTATAAGGGTTTGGATCATGGCGAGGGTCGCGTCCAAAGGAAAAGCTCGATCCCTCGAACTGCTCACAGCGTTGTCTAGCCTCTGCCTTAAATGTACCACCTTGAACATAAAAGATTTCCTTTCTGAGTGATACCCTCATTGTTTATCAAAACTATATTAAATCAAGTATAATTAGCTGGATTATATCAAATACAAACTTAAACAATTCGTACAGTTTACAGGCTATTTGTGTCGTACCATTCACGCCAATAGCAGAGGAATATACATGTAATCATCGTGTATTAAATTTCTACCATAGTTCGTGCTTTTCAGTGACGATACGCCAGTTCAAGGGTATTTATATAAGACAACGTATTGGAAAAAGTATTTGCATATCAAATCTTTCACAATAAACATATTGAACATACAAAACGAAGAAAATACGATGGTATATTAAGCCCGTAGAAAGTAATAGAAAGGAAGCCTATAAAATTATTTTTACAAAACGGTTATGCGCAAATACGTTTTTTTACCTAACCCAATTAGATACCACTGTACTTTCATTGCTACCATTCATTTCATACTCTCACTTTGACGACTTTGCACACGGTCCCCTTGATTCTCGGTCTTGAAAGTACTCGAAATAGAAGTAATTTTTGAACGAAACGAGCAACGATTAATCTCGTGGCACAGTCGATCGATCTCACCTCCTAGTTCGCCTACAAAGTCGTTCGGAATCTTTCGAAACTTCCGCGACCTCATCGTGGTCGTGTCAGAGACCGTCTCGTCGCGGTTCAATAATTTCGATCCGTCGATCGGGAACGGTAGAAGGTAGGGGATATTCGCGCTTCCTACGTAAATCCGATCCGGCCTTTCACTGACCTTTCAGACCTCGAGGTACTTCCTCGAGGTCGGTATTTGTGGAGTACGTGGGGCGAGAGGGAGAGCTGAGCGTCGAATGGGCCGATACCTTCGGCGAAAGCTGCCGATCCTCGCCGTCACCGACGGCTACATACATACATACACTTGTGAAGTTTCGTCCACACGTGTGTATCTACGTCGGGAACCGTGGGACACGTTCGTAACACGTTGAAGGCGATCGCCGATACAGCAGAGAGGTGGAGGGATCGAAGGTGTTGGTAGGAGGAAGAGAAGGTGGTAGGGTGAGGTCAGTGTCCCTTGTGCAGACTTTCACGAGTTACGAAACAACCGGAGAACTGCCCGTCCTTGGCACCGGCTGTCGCTGATTTTCTATTGTCCCGTACCTCACCGTGTCCTCGTCATCGTCGTGCTGTGTATTTCACTCGTGGACGACGCCTCGACGCGACCGTCGACAACGGCTAACGATTTCGACGTTCTAACGATTCCGTATCGGGACCCCGTGAATTTTTCATCTTTTTCCGTTCACTTCCCGTGATGATCGTGTAGACAATTTATCGAATTCAGACCTTCCAGTAATTTCTTGATGGTAACTACGGTTGGTATTGTTCTATTGGGATGTTGGTTTTGTTGGCTACTGCGATTGTTGAGGCGGGGATTGTATAATCTTCTTTTTATGTGCAATAGCATTTGTTAGGTCGTTATTTCATCCATAAGAGGAGAAATGTTGCACTGTGTATATTATTTATTAATACCTTGTTTTATAATAACAGGTTGTATTCATGATGGTGGATGTTAGACTGCGAATGATTATATTAGGCTGTTGCACGATAAATGAATACACCAGTAAATGAACATTGTATATAAATACAAATCAATTAAATTATAAAAATAAATAAATAACTAAATATCGATTTCTTTCAATTACTCGTTTCATATTCAAACAATTTTCGCGCCATTGGTTAGAAATATTCATTTATATAACATCTTTAATTTAATTAATCACATTTTTCCAATTTGTCAAACTCAAATCTATACGTTATAAAAAGGTATAGATATTAAAAAATATACTTTTCATATGCCAAGTATTTAGTAACATCGTTATCATTTAAAATTCAAATTTAATAGTTACAAAATCTCTTAAGTGTTCATTCATCGATGTGTTAAAAAAATAGTTAAAAATATATTATTTTCATGAAACATCACGTTTTCTTTATACAGACCCAGGTGTTCTAACACTATTGGAACAGCAGTGTAACTTCTAAAAATTCTGGATCGTCCGGGTGTTGCATCGAACGCGCAACGACTCGGCCCGGAGATGGAAAGTGACCTCCTTAATGCCGGTACACGGGCAATATTTATCCGGTGTTCGAGTCATCGATTTCACTTTTGGCAATGGCCTCTACCGGGCCGAATGTTCCCGGTGTAATTCTTGTCGTTGTTTGCATACCTCTGTACGTCCGCCGTTCGTAAACTACGTTCGAATATTCCCGATAAACCTGTCGAAGTTCGCCCGTCCACGCGGATCAATCCTTTTACACCGTGTTCCCATACTCTCAACCATCATCGGCGAATTAGAACAATCTGATTATCGTCTTTCGTTTCTGTGTTACATGAACGAACGCTCTCCCATCGCGAGCGATCGTTAAACCGTTGCATCAGCCCAATGGCGGTAGCGATTTGCATATGTGTTCATAAATACCGATCGATTCACGTTCGAAGATTTGTTTCGCGAAGTTCGATCAGCACTTAGAACGACGAGTAACGTTGTTTCATCTGTTTGCGAAGTGTAAATGTCAGTTAGCTGTTCTCGAAATTTGTAACGAGGAGATACACAAGGTTCAGAACTGTAATTAGGCGAAAATTATGGCACAAGCGGACATAAGGTGAATCTTTATGCAAAAACATGTTAAAAGTGCAGAATAGAATTTTTTCATGCGAGGCTTTGTTTCTGAGATAATCGATTTTTAAAATATGCTGGACACGAGTGCAGCTACTGGACGCGTCTGTTCATTGCATTCCGTTTCTACTTACTGCCAGCACGAGTTTTAGATGATGTTTCAAAATCGATTTTCTCGAAAATAAAGTGTCGGATGAACAAATTTTATTTTGTACTTTTGATTTATTTTTGCAGAAGGAATCACCACTTGCCCGCTTAGCCATCCTTTCGGTCGCGTTCTGTATAGTTACTACAAAATTATATTCGTAGTTCTAGTATTTACTAGGTGAGCGCAAATTTGTTGATCGAGTTGGCTCGAAAACAATACACTAGTTATAATTTGAACTATAATTTAATGAAATACATAATACTTCCTTTATAACATATGTATTTTCAATAGAAATGTTTATTATGATAAACAAATTTTCACAATCTTATTATTGAATTCATATAATTAAATCATATTAGTAAGTTTATAGTTTACCGCAGAGTGGGATTGATACAACAGTTTCCCTAAACAAGTCACAAATTTTATTTACAATGTTCGTAATGTTTATCCCTTTTATCTCCAATTTATCTCCTAAAAGCTCAATTCCAATTTTATTTTAAACAATAATACACATTTCGAATCGTATAAATTTCTGTTCCAATCATCAATTTACCCTGTTACATTGACATCGACACGTAATATCTTAAAATTCGCTATTATTTTCACAAAAATGCGACGATTGTATCATCTGCAGAAAATCCATCAAAAGTTTTGCAATGAATTATACTTGGTCTCACCAATCTACTATTACAGTTGCATCATGCAGAGAAAATTCAATTATCAGCGACGAGGAATATTCTGTTGCGACGGCTCGACTCACGGGAGGGATTAATTTTCGTCGTCGAACGACTTATCGCGGCTCGAGCCAGTGGGGTTTCACCACCTAATAGGAAACACTTTCACGATGTAAAAGATAATGCTGCGTTTAGACGAGTACGAAAAGGCATGCGAGACGACGAGGACCGACCAACCGACGACCGACGACCAGCTCTCGAGCCGGCTTGCCCGTTGTATCTATCGGCTTTCGTAATGTGGGAAACCTTGAGGCTTGCGCAAGCAAAGTCGTAAGAAAGTGAAATTGCAACGGAGAGTTCATTCATTTCAGGATCAGGCCGTGTTGAAGACCGATCGAAATCCTATGAATTCGATGCTCTTCTCAACCGCCTCGATCTATTGTTTCTTTTTCGATTTTTGTCGTGAAAATTGAGTCTTGGTGTCGTCTTTGTCGGTTAATTAACCTCTTTCGGAGACGAATTTATTAACACTAGAACTAGCAAAGCAATCAAGATGACTGATTAGTAAAATTATTACTGATATTATTGTAAAAGTAGCCAAAGCTCTTAAATTCGGTAACTCGCAGCAGAAATGATTTAAGTCTTATTTATTGAACTTATAATGTAGTTAATGTCCAAAAACTGCGAAAGTACATGTCTTTTTTTGAGCTCCCTGGTAGGCATAACCCCTTAATACACAGTACTACCTAGTTCTACCCTAAACACTCCGCCAGGCCAGAACTTTTGTAACATCACCGTAACGACAAAACAAACGAAAAAAAAAAAAAAAAAAAAAGAAAAGGAAAATCCTCTCCGTCCGAATACATTTGTCCGGTTACAGTATCGATCAATTTCTTTTCGAATCATTCCGATACCAGTTCGACGAGAACTACCAAACACCGTCCATTAATCAACTCGACGCGCGTTCAACAAACGTTGCAACGATCTCCTTTCCTTCGCGACCGCAGATCCAAGAATATCCATGATGTAATTCTGACCAACGTGACATCGGTACCACACGATTTCGCGAATCGTTGGATCGACGATAGGTGAACGTTCGAAAATTTCTCTCCCCTGGTTCTGTCGTTGATCACATACAAGGCGAGATTTAGCCGTTCATATTCACGCATCTCTTTCCCGTCGCACGTTTATCGCACGATCTTTCGAGTTCTGCAACTGGGTAAGATAAAAAAAAAAAGGAAAAAATAAGAAAACCGTCCACCTTAAGCAGGAAAGATTTCGAGTCGAGTGCATGTGACTCCGATCGCGTGCAGCTGCCTCGAAAGTGAAAGTGAGGATGATGCCTTCGGGACGTTCTCATCAGCCGCCGTGGATTCTCTCTCGCGGGGGATCAACTTTTGTCGACCTGCATTCGATTTCTAACGAGCCACGTCGGAATAAATCACTCTCGAATCGCTCTGAACGCGGCAGACGCGGACGTTGATCTATATCAGAGGCTACCAACGGCGCCCCGAGAACGTATCAACAAAAGGCTAATTAATGTTTCGCACGTATAGAATCGAGATTGGGTTAGATAATCGACCCGAATGCCGTTGATAGAGAAATCCCCGAGGAATCGGTTACAACGCGCCCCCGCGCTGTTCAATCAGCCATCACGCAGATGAGAAGATCGCGTGAAAACGAACGTCGTTGCGCCACACGAGACTATGGTCTCGTGTAGAAATTGCCTCGAGGTGTATACACACACAAAAAAAAAAAAAGAACCAGTGAAAATTACCATACTCGATGGACTCTCGAGTGGTCGTCGTTTTTGTTGTCTACATTGGTGATTCCTTTTGTTCGTCGAGTGAAAACTTTTGTTCCGTTCACTTTTGACAGGTGCGATCAACCCCACTGTTCCTATAACTGTCACTTCAGAAATTCAAGTAATTCTTATATACTTTCAATTATTTCGGCTCTTACTATCTAAACACATTAAGAGCTGCTAAACAGTGCCGAAATGGAGAATTAGGGAATCGCTATTATCGTCTTATCTCCTGGCACGTTCGGATAAAAGGAATTCTACTGTATTACATATATTGCATTATAACGTAATATTGTATTACAGTGTATTATAATAATTATTCTTATAAGGAGATATAAATATTGGGTACTTACTTCGGAGGGGTTGGTGAGCGCCGTCTTCAGTATCGTCCCGTTGACGAGGTGACCCGAATGCGCGGGGTGACTCGGATGACTGGGGGTAGGTTGTGAGTTGAGCGGATCGCCCGACGAAATTTTGTGATGATGTAGGTAACCAACAGCCAGCTGAGCGTGTTGCTGTTGGCTATGGTGTGCGGCCGCAGCCATGTGCCTGTCCAACATCGTCGAGCCCATGGTGGTTTTGGTACCACCGAGGGATCCCGATCCGTTCACACCGCCAACGTTACCGCCGCCACCCATGCCACCCATATTTCCGCCCACTGCGCTCGCTTTATTACTTTTCTTGTGCTTTTTGTACTTCACCTGAGATTGATAATTGACCTGATTGAAATTTAACACGCCGTCTACTCCTATTGTTGATGACGAATGATTTTAAATCGTTTAATTTCATGATAAGCTTCACTATGTTTCAATAGCTTCGAATTTCGTTTAGAAGTTTCGCAACTGTGAGAGTTGCAGATTTTATGCAACTGAAGTGCTAATGTTTTAGTTTATATACTGTTATCTATTCGATTTTCGTTTGAATACATTTTATTTTAGTGTCTTCATCGGTGTTATATTTATTGTTCAGATATATACCAGCGTTTGAAAATTTGGAAGCAGTTAAGTAAAATCTTAAACAGTCAAGTTACAGATTTTTTGTTAAAATCGCAGGCTTATATGCTATAACGTCTTTGCGTTAACAATACCGAATAAACGTATCTTCATCAAAATATGTGCCTCATCAAAATGATCACCTTTATTTTTAACAACTTCCAAACATATTTTGGGCCTTCTGTTTATTAATTTCTAAAAATATTTTTTTTTTAAATATTTTTTATCGGGGACAATGTAATTTAAATCGGGGGATAAATGTACATATTTACAATTCGAGATGACAAATGATATCTATACAAACCTTGTAAAGGTTATACACAGCACCAGAATTTCTGCCACCAGGCATCCGATCTTCTCGAACAGCCTGAAGGACCATACCCTGTTCAATGCACTTTTTGAAGCGACAGTATTGACACCTGTTTCTTTGGGCTTTCGTTATTTCGCAGCCGCCTACTGCCACGCACGTGTACACCCGCCTATTTTGTACGGTTCTCTTGAAGAACCCTTTACATCTGCACAGAAACAAATTATATTATTTTCACCTTTGGCACGAACTTTATTATTCAAACATTTAATATCGTGTGATCAATAATTCGTGGATTCTACATGTTTTCTGATAACTGTACTAAAATCAGCCCAAAATCAGAATCTCATTCTTTATTTTGCAACGTGCAAATTAGGTTAATCTTTTCAGGACACGAGAATGTCACAGCTACACGAAAAACATTTTTGCGAATTGGAGTTACTTTAAGTGGCTCAATATTAATGATTTTTACAAAATGTACTTTCTGAAATCTGTTAATCATGTTTTTACTCTTGGATTTTATGCGTTTACGCAAGACACAGGATGGTGAAAAATTGTTGATAGATTAGAAAAGTTATTGCATTATTTTTATCATCATTAAACTATTGATAGAGGAAGAGAATGTTTATTTACTTCTTTTCTTGCTAAATTATTCTACACAGATATGAAGATGCATGAATATTCGCAGTTCAAATATTACCGAATTTTCGTACAAAATATTAACTTTTTGATATATATGTACTTCTCATCCGTTGAAAGTGTTTTTACTGCTTTAACCTAGGAACAGATTAAAAATTCATGCCCACTGAATTACGGTTATACCGGGATGCATAGGGAGACACGTGGAGGACTTTTACCAACTAATTTTGTCGTGTTCGTCCGACAGGACAATAGACATAGGATAAACAAGAATGAGAACGTGTAACGATACCCTGTAGTAACTTTAGGGACTAATTAGCTCCGTTGCTGGATATAGTAGTATGGAAAGTACCTTGAAGTACAGTTTTCATTTTACCTTGAAAACGTTGGATGATCCTATTCTCCATTGTCTTTGAAAGAAAAGTTATGAACCGCCTGACAAAATAAAATGTAAAAAAAATGGTCACCTCAAATCAGGAACAAAGAAATTAACTTTGAAGATTCAATGTTGTGTCTCTCTTCTCTTTATCTATATTATCTCGATTTGTTTGTGTAAATTCCACTTTGAAGGAAGAAAATGCAGAGTTCATTGACGATGTTTCAGTTAAACATCAAATATCGTGAAGTAGATGCTTTAATGATATCATTAATCGCTAATAATTGCATCTAATAGAAAATCCAAATCGTCATTTGTACTTCATACATTTAAAATTTCGTCAATTAAATAATTTCTCCGAAGAAAAAATTTCTAAATCCTCGAAAGAAACGACAGCACATTCAACAAACTTTCTATCTGGCTCAAAAAGTTGAGAATTTATAGATCGAACGTCGCAATTAGGTTCGACGTAACATGTAAAGGTCAATCGAAAAACGAAATTGGAAAACGGAGAACGGTGTCACGTAAAGGTATAGGATGAAAAACACGATGGCATAGACTATGGATTTCCGCTATATAGAAGGATCTTCGCCGCTATGTATGTTCCCACTTGGACAGTGACGTAGTGTCTTCGAAGACACTAGCAATCGAGTGTATTTCCGAGAGTTGCTAGGACGCACGTGTAGGCTTGGGACCTCTAAAGGTCAGAGTGCGTCGTGGGACACCCTTAGGACCATGAGTAGCGCAAGTCCTAGCTTTCCGTGCATAGTTCTCTGTAATTATCTCTAATTAAGCAGATCGTCGAAACCACCTAGCGTGTACAATGTCGCCGAAAGGCATCCGAACTGAAGCGTTTCGAGATATGCAGGTGTATTACAATTTCATTAGACATTTCATTTGATTATTGCAATTCAGTTCCGAGACGCTTTAAGATCTTCCTAATAATCTTGACAGAATTTGTTAAATATATCTGTAAATTGAATTCCTAAACACGTGTATACTTTTATTTGGGAAGCATTGTAATGGTTCCAAGTTGCATTTAAGAGAGTTAAAAAATAGTAGAGGTAAGGATTTTACTGACAATTCGAATCGTGTCTGTTTACTCCTTTTTACATGTATTAGATCGATGCACATGAAATGGGGGATTTAGTGATGTGTATATTTGACGTTACTTTTATGATAAGCGAGTCATTTAAATCGATCCCAGTGAATATTTTCGAAACTATCGATGATACCGAAAAATATCACAGATAAAAGTCGAATGGTTTTGAGAGGGAAATTTTAAGTGTACAAATTAATTCGTGGCCTTCTTTTCATAGATTTAAAAACTTCCAAAGAACTTAAGCGCAATAAAATATGGTATTAAATGTATTTTAAAAGATCAAGAACTGTGTAATGTACACAGTAGTTACTTCGTGGTATATAGTCGCCTGTAGTATCGAAAGGGTTAAATGACTCACCCTATATAGATTGATCTCAAACGTCTATACCTCATTCAACGAGTCAAGTCAGTAACTATAAACAAGGTAAGACGCTGACCATTTAGGTGAGACAGGGTTCTCAGCCAATAGCTTGGTTTAGCACACGAGTGTTTCGTTTATTTTTACTGACTCGTCGGATAAGGTATAGCTGACGTGCTCACAAGACAGACGACTGTCACTCACCCTTCGCATGTGATGATCCCGTAGTGAAGACCGGTCGCCTTGTCCTCGCAGATCATACATATCATACGCGTCTCGTCCTCCTCGTGTTCCTGGGGCGGCATCGGTGGCGCAGGAGGCGCCACAGACATCGATTGCGACGCGGACTCGCATTTCACGACCCCACCGTTTCTTACCCAGGTCTGACCGGAACTGGAGGCCGTCAGGTTCAGTGCCTGCATCTGTTGCGCGGCCGGTAATTGCGTCAGATCACCGGCCCATAACCTCTCCATGTTAAGCGGTGGACCGGACGCATAGGAAACGCAGGGTGGTTTGCCCCTGGACTCCTGACCCAGGTTCAGGAGTAACTGGGCGGCCGATTCTTCCGAGGAAGAACAGGATGCCGCAGCGGCGGTGGTCGTCCACGACGCCGCTGGCGGTGGTACGGGATCCAATGGGGGCGCGGACCATATCATCGTCCTGACGCCCCCCATCTCACCCATGATGACCGTGGGCGGCGGTCTTGGGGGTGCCGGCGCCGGTCTTTGCGCCGGTGGTTTCATTTCACCTGGAACAGATCAGAAGTCGTGTTTATAAGATGTTCTGCGGTATGATTTTTTAGAAGATACAGTAAATCTTTAACGAGTGTTCGAAGGATCCGCTGCACTGAACATTAAATATTTCAGAAAAAGTCACATGTGACTGAAACAAATGTCATTGGTTTCAGAATTCCAAAGCTGTGCTAAACTTCGTTAAAAAGTCAGGCTTTCACCCGGGGATATGACGTTGTCTGTGTTGAGGAGACATGAAACACTCATCGAGGATTTACTGTATGGTGTTCTGTCTCTATAAACGCGTTTTGGAAATATTTTTAATACCGGTGTCTCTGTTTCCTTCAAATCGTGACTTTCTTTAGCCTTGACAATAATGGGGGAGAGATGTCGGGGGTAGTAATGATAGGTGGACAGTAGATAAAAAGTAAATAAAAAAGTCTTGAGGTTATTCATTCGGTATACAGCTAAAACTATTACCGTTCGCGAATATACTACTCCCAAAGTTCACTTACACGTGGATGTGGTGGTAGTCGCGCCCGTGTTCATGGAGGTGACCCCATTACCGCCGTTCCCCGTGCTGCTCAGGTTCGTGTTGTTACTGCTGGTGGACACGACCGCGACATTTTGCCCGTAGTTGACGGCGCTGCTGATAACTCCGTTCAGTAGCCTTTGCGTGGCGAATCCCTGTACGCCGGAGTTTTGCGACCAAAATTGGTGATGAGCGAGAAGATGGGGCGGCACCGATGGGGCTCGGGGTCTGGGTGGCGTGGGCGGAGTCTGCGGCTGTTGTTGATGTTGTTGTTGAACACTGTGCTGGGTGCTTGCGCTGGGACTCATGCTCTGGTTGGAATTGTATTGCGAGGATGGGCTGCTCCGATGGCTCGGCTGACTGGAGGTCTCGGAGCGTCCTCCGCTACCGCCACCGCCACCGCTACCGGTGCTACCACCACCCCCTCCGTCGAACACCGAGTTATCGAACTCCTCTTTAGTTTGGACGGAGGACAGGTCACTTTTGTCGGGGCTGTCGCTCCTTGAGGTTGCTTCTTGGGGCATGGGAGTCGTGGAAACCGCCTGTATAGGCGAGTAAGGCGACGATCTGGTCGGTAACGGTGTACCAGAACGTTGCTGTTGGTGCTGCTGTTGTTGTTGGTGCTGCTGCTGCTGCTGCTGTTGCTGCTGCTGCTGTTGCTGCTGCTGCTGCTGCTGTTGCTGCTGCTGCTGCTGCTGCTGCTGCTGCTGCTGCTGTTGTTGTTGTTGTTGCTGCTGCTGCTGCTGCTGCTGTTGTTGATGGTGCTGTTGGTGATGGTGCTGCTGTTGCTCCTCAACGACTCGGAAGCCCACCATCGTAGTGGCGTCCGGGAAGACTGAGTCGGGCGACGCACGGTCCGAGCAACTTGTGTCGCGAGCGTCCAGGCCACCAGCCCCGCCACCGCCCCGTAGTGGATCTCGCGGTGTCCCAGGACTCGGGATGCCTAGCAGATACTCGCTTTTCACTTTGACCACAGGGCAGCCCGGCGAGCCCGGCATGTTAGCCTCCGGCGACAGGGTCGAGGTGTCGGCCATGCTCTCCCCTGGAGCAGGAAAGTTTATGGGTGAAGGAGCATCCGCCGGCTGGATCCCGAGCGGCGAGCCTGCTGATCCGAGGGATACCGGGGAGTCTGAGAAATAAGGCGTTGATCTCACGTTTATACTCGATCGAACATAAGGACAGGTGTTTACCTCGGGATGGCTGCACGATAATGGGCGTGGGATGAGCCGCGGTTTGATTCTTGATTATCGGAACTGACCCTTTTGTGTTTTTCGTGAGAATGATGGTGGTGATGGCGGGCTCTGCTCGGTTTTTATATGATGGAATTTCTACGATCTTACGACGGATGGGCGAGATACGGTGGCAATGACGATGAGAGTCGAATGAATTCGTGATAAACGTTGAATGACGCGAAAGGCGTACCTCGCGAATGTTTCGTGATATTGGTGTAGAACGTTTTATTCCCGGGTAATTCGAGAAGCTTTGCGTGTTTGGTAGATGGACAGAGAATTGGAAAATGTCCCTTCCTCTTTGGTATTTATGCAAATGTTCGATTAATTGGGATAATTTTTTTATCATTGTGATCCATTGTGCTTGCAACAACTGTTTAAACCGAAGCGACATTAGAAGTTTCTACTTAAAAACTGTTTGAAGTACAACGAAGTTTTTAAAGAAATTTTACATGGTCTTTAGCAAAGGAAACTATTCGTATGTGTCATTAAGATGCTAATGAAGAAACGAAAGACGCATTAGTCGTCTTCATTTTCTGTTTTCGTAGAGATAACTCCAAAGCTATATCTTCCTCAATTCGCAAGTAGTCATTAGTAGACTGTGGATTCTATGCACTTATAGTCTATAACGCTTAGTGAAATACAATAAAAATCAAAACTTTCATTAGATGCAACGAGTTTTCTATTTTATTCTGAACCCAATAAGATACTTAGGAGAAGAAAGAAATTCTTATATTTGCTCTTGTACTTACTATATGTTTTACTGACTTGTCTTTATAAATTACTTTAGAAAATGTCATTTTGCATAAAAATCCACAGTCTAGTCGTAAGTGTCTCTGACGCTTTAACTGCATACGTACTCAGACTGATAAAAATACTAATCACAGTCTCATAAAATAAAAGTATCATCAAACTTAATCCATTCCTTTAATTCTTCAATACACACAAATCTGTAGCTTATATATTAACCGATAATCCTCCACAAGTTATCGGATGTCCACATAAATAACCAAATAATAGTAAAAAAATATTTTTCAATTCTCTATCCACATAACAATTTTTATTGAAAACAATGCATAACGCTTCCTTCTCAACCGTAACATTCTAAGATATAGATCCTACCTTTTTGCTAACTAACCGACTCTTCCATAGTGGAAGCAACAAGGTATAAATCACTGAACCGTGGATTCGTTTCAACAAATAATCCCTACCGATCCGAGGCCTGGCCTGATGAACACGTTATCTGCATTCCACTCCGACGTTTTGCAGCATAGCATGTAACCTATTGTCCGTCTAGATTCCCGTTGCGCAACCGCGTTTTACCGCGCATCAATAACAATTAACTCTCCCGGCGCAAGATTATGAAAGTTTACGCGAGACGAAATTGTTCGTTCGCCGTTTAAAACGGTCCGGTTCAACGATCGCGTAACCATCTTCAACGGCGATGTTCACCGTTTCGTTCTACGGTGGTTTTCAGGCGTTTTGCAAATGTTATTAATCACCGTGCGCATAAGTACACGCCGTGCTGGTCTATCACAATGATTAATGACGTTTATCGCGAACCCGCTGCCAATCCGACGTTTTATAACGTTGACAGCCGTATTTCGAAAGGAGCACCAGATATTTCGCTGTTCGTTGATCGAATAGGGCTCAACGCATCGATAAACTTTAATTTTTATGCATTGGTCTCTCTCTGAGTGGGGCATATTACGATAGTTTCATTTGTTTAGTTTGGCGTTTCGGCTGAGCCATTACTGGTCTTCGGTTGTTTATTGCAAATTTAGATCTATTAAAGGTGTGGAGAAATTGTAAGTTTATTAAGCAGTCAGTAATAGGTTTTTTGCAATAAATTTTGTATGTTTCCATTTATCTACAAATGCATAAGGATCCGCGGATTCAGATGTTTTTTGACTATTTCTTCTTGCTTACTTTTTTTCTTATTAATAGTTTATTTGGATAATGCCACAGCCTGCAAGCAGTGTTGGGCAACATTTTATTTATCTATTAAATAATAAACGGTAAATAAAAATAAAATTTCATTTGTAAATAAGACTTAATTTATTGATTCAAACTAAAGCCATTTAAACGTTGCTAGGAATAAATTATTTATTATTTCTTATTTGAAAATAAAATTTGATTTTTGATTTAGATATCATTAAGAATTAAAATACTTATCATTTTGTCTTTTCTATTTAATTTTATGCAATGAAGAAATTGTAAAGTTCCTATTTTTATTCACTTATCAAACAAGTTATCCGAAAGTGTATTTGATTTTACCGTATCCATTATAATTGCCAAAGAAAAAGTTCGCTCTACTGTCTTCCGACGACGGTGAAGGTGATTTCATTACTTTAAATCATGTATTTAAATTTGTTCAAACAACAAACAATTTATTTCCGTTTGTTATTTGAACTGTCAAATAACAAATAAACTTCTACTTAAATAAACATTTATTCAATAATGCCCAAAATTTCCTGCAAGAGCTGTACACACTATCACTGTATACTGGCCCCTTATTGCCCGTTAACGGAGACGATCCGTGGGTCTTTAAAGTTCCTATAGTTTTCTGCGAAACTTAGCGGGAAACGGTAACTGCGCGTCTTGTGGTGTTACTTCAAGACTGCTCAGACGTGGATTCTCCCGCGTTTTCGCCCGTTCGTATTGTCCCCCCGAGGGTGTACGGCCGAAACGTTTCTGGATTGCACGTGTACCCCGTTAGAATATCTCCCTCGTAGCCGAGCACCTGAGAGCAATTTACGCGACCGACACGAAAGTGTAATACTCGCTCGGTAAGGTTGGATCGTGCAAAAGGATGTGAGACCCACGGTCTGTTCGTGTAGGTCAAGGAAGGAATGCAGTTGACAAGGCCGCGTTGTGATTGTAGGTACACTAGGTTCCAGTTTCCATGCTATTAATAGCCACGATCACCGTGAATATCGGTTCCCGCGGATTATTCGTTCAACGTCTCTCCTAGCCTTCTTCGTCGGATCTATTAGACGGATGGGATCGATCCCTGTTGTTGCTTCTAATAATCTACTTTTCATTGCAATCGCGATCGAGGGATATCGAACGCTGTTCATTCGTCGATCGATGATTGACTAATAAGTGACAGTGTCATCGTCGAATGTGTTCAACGAGATAATGGTGATGACGATTAGTAAGCCGATTATGAGGATGATCTGTGTCATTGTACCGACTGTCATATTTCCTTGATGTAGTGATGATTTATTGTTTTCAATGTAAGATGTACCTATTATTGTTGTTTGGTTTCTAGATGATTTTTTAATCTTCTAAAATGTTGCAGGGAAATGTGTGTAGTTTTAGTTACATTAAGATAAAATGAAAATATACTTGGTGTATATTTGTATCAATACGTTTAAAGTCGAAGTGAACGTATTTCCTTATTTTTGCATTTTCATCTTTTTATTTACGTCATTAGTTGAATTTTTGTTTGACTGTATTATTCTTACAGTTTCAGATATTAATATTTACAAAGTAAATTGGAACAGTATTCTGAATTCTCTGCTAGAGGTTTTACTACGTTAATGGCAACACACAATAATAGTAATCTTTATTAAAACCTTTATTTTATTGCATTTTCCAAGATAAAACATGCTATAAATGTATAAACTTCCACAGTCTAGTTACTATTTGTACGATTCCAAATTTTCTTTTATTTCCCACTTCGTAATGATTTGAATTACTATTGTAGACGTGTTCTGCTGCGTATAAAAACTACAACACCAACAAAACCTAAAGCAATTAAGGTGAAACTGAAAATAAAATAATAAACGGTGGACGTACTCGATGTTTAATATTCATTCAACATCAGGAATTTTTCCTTTGTAATCATTGTTACAGGTTTTCATCTACTACATAAACGATAAAACGTTATTCAATCCAGTTTGGTTTTCCTTGACAATGCAATTTCTGCCTGTAGTTGATACAATTTACGACACTTTTACGATCTATAATATATAGACACAAATATGCTTTTGACGAAAACATAAATAAGATGCTTCACATTTTTGTCCCGCGCTAAATATATCCGCAATAAGTAAATAAATAGAAGGCACTGACAAATAAATGCAAAAGTTATGTCGACAAAATTATTCTGACGCAAGGGAATCAGAAGATAATTTCTGCCAGAAGATGTTGCATCGATTACTTTTTATTGCCTGAATTTTTCTGACAACGCAAGTGTAGTAGGAATAAAACCTCGTAGACCCCATCTCTCGTGGCTTTATCGTCGATAAAAGAAAAGCTGAGCATTATCGAACATGATCTTGCTATAAGCTAAGTACAGCGAGGTCGGACTGTATTAGGTAAAATTGTTTACCGAATAAAGACGTGCCCATGTTCTTCTGATGATAGCAGCAGTACTGATGACCGAATGATCCGTTCGGGTTGATCATCAGTCGTGATCTGATGTAATGATGGAAATCGAGATAGTTCTGATACGGTGACACTGAGAAACAGTTGTACGGATGATACAGGAACGAAAAGTTCTCGAAATTAGTCGATGGTTCCAACATCCTTAAATCCATGTTTCTCAAGCGCCAGTTCTCCATCCAATGGAAGTTGTTCGCGGTGAACACACTGTTTTTCAGTGGAAAATTCATTGTTTCTGCCTTAGTATCATCAATATTCTTTACATCGATCTATTTCTTCTACATTTGTTGCTAGTGTATCACAAGTTCTTCGTTAAGCTCGTTATTAGTCCTCATCGATTGTCTCAGGTATCGTTGTACTTATTCCGTCCTCAGTCTCTTCTACTCCATTAATTGGTTACAGAAATCACCAAAAAATATTTTCTCTGTTGCGCTGACACGCGAACGTAAAGATATAAAAAATCCTTCCTCTTTACACTAACTTTACAAATATACGATTTACTGTGATGTCTCAAAAAATTTCGTCCCGTTTGAGCTTCATTTTCAACAAAATCGTATAGTTTCAGTAAACAAAATATCATTTATTTACGTTAGTTCTACCATAACTAAATTCTTCTTATACGAACAGTTTCAACTTTTTAAACAAGTTCATTAAGTACCGTTGAATCATTTACTATAGCGCAGATACTGCTAAGTAGTATAACCCGTCACTAGTCAGACGCGCCGAAAATACAGCATTCCTCTTTAAGTACGCACCATAAAACAACAACATTTCACATTTTCGATAACGTCAAGCATCAGTGGAAATCCCTATCGACAATTCGCCAACGATATCATGCACCGATCTTTTCCATCGTTAATCACGACGCAAACCAAACGAAACCGTCCGACGTCAATAAAACCCGAACAGAAACCACCGAGCACGACCAACGCTTACACCGTGTTGCAGCAACAAGTCGCGATACGACCGGATACTCCCGAGCATAATGGGGAACCGATCAATTAAGGGCTCCCGTCGAGGCGTTAAACGGAATCTAATTGGGCCTTTGTTGTCCCCCGCGTGCGAACCAAATATCACTTATCCGTGGCTGGAACCTCAACCCTGGAACGATCCCGTCTCTACCCGCACGATCCTTCCATATTGTCGCATTTATGTGGATCGCCGCACGGTACTCCGACCGGGCGGCACTGTTGTCATCGAACAAATTGCGTCGTGCACACGCTTCTCAAACTGTGACGTTGCTCGTATACCGGCCCCAAAAGGGGGGGAGAAAGATCAATGATTCTCGGTGCTGCTGCTCCTCGATCCCGGAACACGCGTTCCTCGACAATAATTGAAAGAACAAAAACTGAATTCATTCATGTTCGCGGAGAGTTTCGCGCGTGTGTCTTCCGCCAACGATACGAAGACGGTTCCACGAACATCGTCGAGGGAAACTGCTGACAATCTCCTGTCGTCGTGATGGTGTCGTAGATTATAGAAATTGCGCGCGTGCTCCTTCCCCAGTTCTCGCCAGGTAGACGTCGCCTTCGACACAACAACAATTCAGGTTCACCGTCGTTGCCATCGATTCGGCTTCCCGCCAACGCCAGTCTCTGACCTTTAATCGCGAGTAGGTCGAGGGTCATTGGTATCGGCTGCGTTCTCGTATGCAACCACCTCGAAAAATCAATGCAGCTCTCAACATCCGGTTACTGTCTCTTTCATGATGATTAATACCACTGTATCGAGTGTCGTGTTATCCAAAAGAGATCTCTCTTGGGTCGCTGATGCAATTGAACGATCCTGAGTGAAATGACGGGATAACGCGTCCAGCGTGCTCACGCGAATTCAGACGAAACCGAACTAGCAAGGGTTTACGTCCGGGAGACCGCGTGGGTTGATATTCTACCCTGCACCGTTGCCACCAACCACCAACCACCCCCTACTCTTCCACTTACCTACCCCTGTTCGAGCTACAACGTCGTCTCTCAACCACCCCCGCGGTAACCAATCCTTCCGAACCGATCCAGCCTCGGAACAACGGCTCAAGACACAATAAACGTGTGTGTGTGTGGGGGGAGGGGGGAGGGGCGCAGAATGCTACCAGTGAAGTGGCTCCTAGGTCGCTTCAGGCGATGTGGGTTGTGTGAAACACACCCGATCCTTGGATCAGGATCTTCACGATGGGGTAAAGCTTAAGGTACACAGTTTTATCGGTGGACGACGGCTGCTTAAGGTGTTACGATCAGAGAGTTTTAGAGAGAACCCAGGAGGTTCGAGGATGCCTCGAGTGCTTAGGGGTGAAGATGGGCTTTAAGTAGAACGGGCACGCGATAATGGAGACGTGTGACGTTGCTGTATCATTGTTTTCGTGGAATTGACTATTGTACGCCGTAGTTGCTTGTTTTTAATTCAGGATTGTTTTTATTATTAACTCTCCATAACCGGACTTCTCAGATTTTAAATACAGTGAGAGTTAAAATTAAGTATACACATTACAAAGGTGAGGTTCGTGTAACACTTTTGTAGCATGCTAATATTGTAAGATCATGGCAGTAATACAGGTGGACACGATTTTTTTAACATTTTCGGGATCAATAGGCAGGCAAAAAATTTGGGAAAGGAAATTCGAAACTATAACCACAATATTTTTGAAATATCGTTGTACACAGTAAATGTACTATTATGGTTTGGGGTAGCATAGCAACCTCTGGTGGGAGTATACTCACTTTTCACTCTCACTGTATTGTGTTATTGCAAGAGGGTGCTTTTGTAATTCATTCTATTTAATGATGAGTATATAAGGGGTAATAGACTTATAGTGATATAAATTCTAAATATTATTTTACATACTATACTTTGAAAATCTTACGGAAACTTTCTATTTAAAAAAAAAAATGAATTTAACTAAGGTTCTACTGAAACTAGAATTATCATAGTTCTGGAACTGGAATTATCATATTTCTAGTTTCAGACACACCGTTTTCAATTAATAAAGCTCTGTTACTATTTTTATTTCCAAATGGATTTAAATTACGTAATAGTGCTGCTTATTATCAACCATGCTACTCTAAGAAATCGGCACAAGTACCCAGAATTCCGTTTTGGCTATGTCTCCATACTTTTTGTCAGTGTACAGGAGCTGACAGACGTTCCAATTGGCCATATGCGTTCGATTTAACGTGTCTTATTGATCTTCTATCGATCAATAGCATGACAGCAATGCGATCTGAACGACGGGAATATTTCACGCGGTAGAATTAGATGTCTTGTAGACCGCGCTAAAAACTACTTTGTTGACACCGTTATCTAAATAAACTCCCATCAATTTCGTTGCAAAAGTCGGCGAACTAAGTACCATTGGAGACGATTCAAGAATCTCGGCCCGCTGTAGACGCGTAGAACGCGCGGGAAGACGCGGGGCAATAAATTCGCATCCACGTAACCGGTCGCTTCTAAAAGTCGCGGCTCCCTCTAATGGTACGGTCCAATCGTTTCGTGGTTTTCAAAGCGGAACGGATGAACGGATATGATTGATGCAGCAATGCGTTTCACGTCGGTTCTACCTAGGTCTAATACACGGGGCTTATGAAAATCCGGGGCAATAAGGGTATCAAATACAGCATTATGGGCGGTAACTATTCATTACGGTTGCGCTGACCACATTCATGACTCGTTCTGGGTATTCCGAGCAAGAAAAGATTTGCCTATATGCTATGCTGCAGCCAGACAATGATATATGATATACGATCCCTCTCGAAGACATGATTACGCCTGCCGGTGAACCTCTATACGTATTGTTTTCTCTCCTTTAGCGTTAATGATTAGGCTGTGGATGTTTGTGCATCGTTTTAGACGCTAATCCATTAAAATGAAAATCGTTGGACATTACGATTATTTCATACGTGAAGGATTTTGTTAAAATCAATAATTTAAGGAGGATAGGATTTTCTAGAAATGCATAAACATCCGTAGATTGTTAACCCTTAGGGACACAGGAGGTGTATATACCGTACGGAGAAGTTTTCTATTTATCTACATTTTTTACTCGAAAAATGTTTCTTTAAGCCTAATTATTTACCATTTAAAATAGAAAATTATTAAATTAAATGATAAACGAATATTCTGCTGCTGTCTTCTAAAATTAGGAAAAAAAGGAATGGTGTATTCACGGTCCGTGTGTTTAAGGGTTAATGATGATGTAGATATATACTTGTGAGAAAATGCTGCAAACTTGGAGATCGAGGATCTTTAAAGTGATTCTTAATAACGAATGGAAGGTATGAACCTAAGTGCGTATTTTTATGGGTGGTGTAATATATGAAAACGATTTTTTTTGGGAAGCACATTTTTGAGGACATGAATCGTAAATCATAAGTGATGAACGTGGAACGCACGAAATATGTTTACCAAAAGGATTCGTAAGTGAAAAATTATAGATTCTTACCGTCACTACCACATCGGGAGTCGACCTTTCTCCTTTTCAACTTGAGGTCTTGAAACAAGCTCATGTTGTCTAGCTCACACGGGCTGCTCGTAAGGGTCATAATTCCTGCAAACAAGATTATATAAAAGTTAGTTTCTTTGAATTGACAATACATTAAAAACATCGTGAATAATGACGCGAAAATTATTTGTACATAAATTTTTGTTCATGGATAGTAAAACAATTATCGAATGTGAGGTAAATTTGAAAAAAAGGTTACGAATTCATTGGAGGTCTGGGTTAGGTATTCTTGTCCCGTTTAGGTATTTAATTGTTATAAATATTACATTTTAAAAGCAGATGAATAATATTAAATTTAATGCAGTATGGATAATAGTAAATTCACTGAAAATGGAGTTATGTGCATCGATCAGTAGGAAATTGGCCCAAAGTGACGTTACTGACACGTGTTACAATAGTTCTTCGAAACAATAAAGCACACTTCTATTAACTAGTCTTCAATCCAGTTGCATAAACTCGAATAAAGCTCCATTTCATTTAGACGAGTGTCACTTCGAAAATGTGTTATTTACGTGAAAATTAGCAGTGCGAACAAAGTTCTGAAGGAAAGTCGATATATACACGGTTTCTATGAGAACTTTAAATACTTTCAATGTAATTAATTTTTATCGTCTCTCTACCTTCGCAAGAAGAAATGGTCACTGATTAGTAGACTGTGGATGTTTATGCAAATTCACAGATTCAGACTTAATATTTAAAAATCAATGTTGAATGGAATTTTGTCTCCTGTATTGAGGATTTTAATATGTTAACAATAACATAAAAATGGCGTTGAACTTCCTTAACTTTCCTGTTCTCCTCACATATTCCTCACGTTTGTATCCCTTCGAATAAAATTATTTCAAACTTTGAAATGATTTGTTTTCCAGAAATGGGAAATAAACAAAAAAGTAGATATAAAATTTAAATAATATAAACCCGAAGAGGGCAGCAGGTTTAAAATGTTTATTTCACTACATTTCACAAGTCAGGAAACGCTGTAAAAGGAAAAACATCCGCAATCCATTGATTAGTAATCCATCATTGCCATTAGGAAAATAGAAAACTCCAGACTGTTTTCACGAAATCTATCGCTACTCTTGTCGGAAATATTTCCAAAAATCTCCAAACAAGTTCCTGCAATAACAAGTGGCTTCGCGGATAATGGTGGAAGTCATCTCGCTAGGCCGAGGATATCGGCTATCGCAAAAGAGAACGGACTGAATGTGAAAGTACGTGTGTCGGACGCACGCGTTCGCGATTACGGCGAACGCATAGTTCGCCATTAACCCCTCTTTAGCCAATAGCATACAATTGGATCGTTGCGTGGCCGTATCTTTCAGCGTTGGACCGCGCGAAACCATCCGATTCGATGGGGCACGAGCTCGTCTTGGGATCACGATCTGGTATGAGAGCTTCACGGAATCTTCCTGTATTGCGTTATAATAGGATAATTAGAGGCGTCGTCCACGCGGAGCCGTTCCTTCACGAGCGAAATCGTCTTTAGACGTCTTGCACCAGCGGCTCGAGGACAGAGGAGGCCTCCAGGTCCCGGACGATTGGCGGACCAGGTCAGTTTAATAACCGGCCAGACCACTCATCCGGGTGTTCTGATAATGACAAATCGCGTCTTATCGTTGGACACCCGACCGTCTGTAATTAACAACGAAAGAAGACGACGTAAGAGCAGAAACCGCTGGTTTAACGATCGTCCCCGGCGAAACGATCTATGACACACCATGGGTCGTTTTAATAAACCGCGATGTCGTGGATAATACAGGCCAATCGCGCACGATCGCTGGGACGCGACTATATTTGCATGTCGCGCGTGTTTGGCTTGTGCTCGTTTCGAGACCTGTGATCGATAGATCGCGATATCCACTTTGTTGCTGCGCGTTCTCTTCTGCTGCACGCGAAATCTACGGAAGAAATGCTTTGTAGACTAAGAATGTAATTTAAAGTCGTCCTTTCGTCTGTCAATCGAGGAAGACGAGATTAGTTCTTGGTTGTTTCATCGTTTTGATACTTCTGAGCGGTATACCATTTTGTTGGTTAATTTTTCCTTCCAGAGGAGGCTAGAACTATAGAATAAATGTTTCAAAAACCAACAGTTTAATTTAGATTCGACATTTCGTCTTAGATTACCGTGTGTGTTACGTTCTTCGTTAATTTTTTCTTCTTGCGTACATAAGAATCAGAACGAGAGAAATGTTTTAAAAATTGAGAATATACATTAGATTGAGCCTTTACTTTATTAATCATGGTAGACGAGTTAATCCCTGTATTGTTCGTTTCATCATTTGGATACTGATGGGCGGTAGGATTATCCATGACGTTTAAGCATCATTCCAAAAATATGTTTATGGGACGACTAGGAACTTTGATCGAGCACAAAGACAGGATGATTTCGTTCATCCTAAACATTGTAGATGTTTCAATTCAAAGGCTACCACTTGGTGCCAATTAATTCTGGATATTGGCATGTCACCAGCTTTTGAGTCTTCCCGCGCTTAAATTGATGAAAATATTCACGAATCAGAAAATCGTGGCAAAACTTTCTCAGTTACGTCGAGTGCTTTTAATTCACAGATTTCTCTTTAACGCGGCTAGCAACATTAAACGACTTTCTTCGCGTTCTGCACTCGCCTCATCTATTATCTAATCGAGTAGTTTCCTTCTAACGTTACATAAAGTCATCTCAAGCTTTTACCTAGGTTTCTATTCTTTTTATGAAAACATTTTGTATTGTATTTGCTTACGTGTTCTATACTGGGTGGGTTCGTTATTGATGACACATTTGAGAAAAGGCAAGATTCTTCATGAAAAATAATAAATGTCCTTTAAACGTTTCTGTGATAGGCGCGCATTTGTCCTTAGAGGCAGTAGATACGGCAAGTAATGAACAGACGTGTCGGCCAAGTCTTATTCGATAACTCACGAACCCGACAAATTTTCGAAGTTCATTTCGATTGTTTTCGTATATGTTTGTCGAAAATATGTTACATAATGATTACAATTAACACTTATAATTCATCAATTATATATGCTATTAATCAAATTACAACATTATAAGTTTCAGTTTGTAACTTATAACATTATAGATTGCATTTTTCTGAACTATACAAATCAACGGTAGTTGCATCCATTTATTCTACCCAACTCATAGAATGAAGTGCTTCCCTGTGACCATACATGGATACCATCAGAAAATCCTCTATAGAGTCCAGTTGCGTACTCATTTTGGTACACACGCGCAATAGGTAAAGTGTTAAAAATCCTCGAAACACTAACGGACGAACACCACTGCGTCCCATCGACACTCTCGTTCTCAGTCAAGTGCATATTGCCGCGCGCGTCTCCACGCGTGAAAGCGGCTTAACCCCGTCGGGGCTCTCTCAGTGGCCCACGTGGGCCGAGTGTGCGCATTGGTGATCGCTATCACCGCCAGATGGCGGTTACATGGGTCACACAGTCGCGCGCGGCGCATCAGACGGCATGGAGAGGAGTGGGGGGAAGGGGGCGGGGACGCGCGTGCGCATGACCGTGTGCACACTCGCGCACACAGCTCTCGTTGGCGCATGGCGGTGGCGGCACGGGGAGCCGAGTACATATATATATACATATATATACGTGGTGTGTGCACCGGGGTCCTTGCTCCCTGGCGTATGTGGGTCACCAGTCTCACACACACCACCGTTCTTGCGTAACCAACGCATGCACACGGCCGAGCGGTGCCGGCGGCGTGCACATGCACACACCGAGACGGAAAGTGCAGCCAATGCACTAACCTACGGTCTCTTCTTGAGAGGCCGCCGGCGATCCCCGTATTTACGTACCAGTGTGAATACACGAACACGCGCGCGTGCACACACAGCGTGTGCAGCTCAAAGCGGACTTTCCGCTATCTTCGCCTAGGCTTTTTCGAGGCTCCGCGCGCGCGCGCGCGCGCGCGATTCACTCCCTATACCCCGTGTTATTTGCTTCATTAAAGAGGCGCTTCCGCACGAGGCGTTTCACGGCAATTTTCCGGCGATCCGGGCTGCCTGAATATTTCAAGTGCAGCTGAACTGTAGATCGTTGGAAGGTTTTCGAGGAATTATGATGGAACTTAGTTTGGATTTGAATTTATCGGCTGACGCGTGTTTGTTTGCGGGGATAAATGAAGTTTTCGATAATGGAATATACTCATTTTTCTTATATTGAGCTGGTGTATGTTTGTAAGGGGCTGGATATAAGGGATTGTTGTAGCGGTAAAAATTAATATTTTATTTAACAAGTCGCGCAGAAATGCACTCTCGTCTAGCTGGCAATGCAATGCCATCTGCGCGAACGACGCTACGTCGCTTCATGGCGGCATCGTCGATGGTATTTGTTTCCTTACCGCGCGCTCTCTCGAAGGTTTCAATATATCTTAATGATCCACATATGCCCTCATGGAATAATTATGTGTAATTCATAATTATGCAGGAACTATGTGGTTATTATACTGCAGATGTTGTGTATTCATATCATACGCAGGTGTACAGCCACGATAAAATAGAAAAATTAATTGTACTTAATAATATTTTTATTTTAATTTCCACCTAATCAAATTTTGCATAATCAGTAGCTGTTCACTGTCTATATGAATTTCTATCTAATGTTATTTCCTGTAAATTAGTATATTCAAATGTGAATTTATATAAACATTCGCTTTGCATTCACATTAATTAATCAAACATAAATATGTATTAATGTAGTAAACGCTAAAGTAAACCAAAATATATACCTAATTTCATCTTCTGTACAACTACTCTACATAAATGTGAATTTGCATAAACACCAACAGTTCAACCTTCGGTGAATCACTTCACCGAATAATTACGTAATGTATCGTGACAACGATAAATGTGATTGATTCGACCTAATAAAATTTCATGGAAGTCTAATAAAAAAGGGGAAATCGATTTTTTCATAGTCGTGATACACCCATAAGTGTGACGGCAGTGCGAGGAGGAAGAGGAATCGTAATCCCTCTTCTTTTCCGTCAGTGTTACGTTGCCCCCGTGTTTGTAATCGAACCTCGG